TCTGTCCAGCGTTCGGTACTGCTTGTCTATTGAAGGGTGATGACTCAAGGAAACTGATCAACTTCTGTACGTCGTCCTCTGTCTTGAACTCACTGGGATCAAGCTTGTACATCAACTGTGTCAATGTAGGTTGTCCCGACTGCAATGCTTCCTCACAATGCGTGCCGCCAACAATGCTCGATCTTCTTTTCTCGAGGATGATAATGTCCACTTGACCTCATGGATGAAGTGTGAGAAGGTTTCCGGTTGCCCACTCCAAAGTGGGATCTGGTTCCAAGGCTTCTCACTTGACTCCATCAAAGCGCAATGTGGAAAAAGGTGCTCACAACCCAACAGCTTCCTCGGTCCCTGATCTCGCAGTGCTCCGCGTGACCAATCTTACATCCACATGCCGAAAACACCTTCAAGACGAACGCATGACCGCTGAACTGCAAACACAAGTGACATCTTCAATAAACGAGACTTGTCTCAAACCTTATTTCCGAAGTGTCCATCTTCCTTTCTCACTAAGTGTTTTCTCAAAGAACTTTTATTCTTAACCGCGTTCTGAAGCAGTGTTCTCTCAAGTTTTGATCACACTTTAACTTGCTTGACACACTGATGTTGCCAAAAACGCTAGTCTCAAGCCCCTTAATTTGATGGCCTTGTGCCTCACCATGTTTGGCCGTCTGCTTAAAACAGAAAAACGGTTTCTATTCCTATGATTGAAATGGAGAGTGCAGCTTTGGTTGCCATGCTTGGTCCTAACCGTGCTTGCTTCTTTTTTGAGTCCAGGCACACAATGCTAAGCTAACGGCTTGAAGGTACGTGCTTCCTCTTGTTGTGGTTTGCTGAATGTTTCAGGCTTATGTTGTTGGTTTGGTGAAGCTCTGACCTTGTATGTTGTGGCGAGCTGTGTGGACAACATCGGCTGCTTGAAGTTCCACAGTTCTGGTTCTAGGTTTTTCAACGTTTCTTCTGGTTTAGTTGCTTCTTGGCATTGTTGGTTTGGTCCGGTTTTGTGCTTTGTGTATCGTGGGGGTGATTTGAAAGTCGGTACTTTTTGTGGTGGTTCCACAGAGTGATTGTTGTCTGTTGCTTCAACAATCTTTTGGGCTTTGGATCGGAACTGGTTTATATAACAATCGTGGATTTGGGGTTTGGGTGGGTGTGTTCCTGCGCTTCTTTCTGTTAATTTAATGTTAGGCATATTCTTGCTTGTTGCCTTCGTTGGGTATTCCTTTGTGAATGTTGGGGGTGATGTGAGAAGGAAGTGTTCGATTTGGGCTCTTGGCTATGGGATTCTGTCCGGATGCACAAATTGTGCTCGAGTCTGGATGAGTTTGGGCGAGGCGTCGGTGGGATGTCCATCTTGGGGTTTGGTGGGATGTGATCCGTTGAGTTTGGGTGTTACTCACCGTGAGCTCTTATTAATGCTGTTTCGAAGGTATTTGAGTATGGCATATGGTTTGGTTGGATTTATATGTGAAGGTTTCAGGTTTCGATTTTTTGTTTTCTTTCGCATGATTCGGAGTTTTTGAAGCTGCTTCAATCAAATGTTGATGTGCTGAAGGCTGCCATGATGGCTGCGAGATACTTTGGTGCCAGGCACAAAGCTTTGATGCTTAGATTCCTCAACATGGACTTGCGAGAAGCTGGTCCACAAGTCATCCCATATTATGATTCTCAACTATAACTACTCGATGGAACGTGTATTACAAATGTTTACAAATAGATAAATCAAGGTTCGCAGCGAGGACTTTACAAAACCCCACCACATTGCGGTAGCCCTCTTCGACACGAGGCTTCTCAGGCAACTGACCTGACCTTTCATCAATTCATCAAACTTAGGGCTGTGGTTCGCAGCGACAGTGCACCAAGTACTCATGCAAGCAAGCTGCTCCGTTCGGTGACATGACCAGCAACCGTTTGCTCCTACATACTTTGTCGCTTTATATATGTTTGTCGCTGCTGTTTCTCTTCTAGTTCTTTTTATCGTCCTTACTGGAGTAATTAATTTTGTGTGCAAGCAAATCCTGAATGTTTGCATGCCAACACAAAAAAGCTTCTCGCAACAATTGAATCGCGCAAAAGGGCTTGGTATTTCTCCTTGTGGAGCCACTGATGACAGCAATGGGCTTGCTATCATGTCCAATTCTGATTAGAAACTAGTAAATTGAATTATATAAATGAACATGTCCGATCAAAAGCTTGAATCTCTTTTATGTGTGTATCCTATCAGCCTATCAGCCCTGGACCCTTGTTCCATGCAACAAAATGCTTTCTGAAGACCCTGCACACTGTCCCCCTTCCTCCAAAAGCCTAGGTTGAGTTCCCTTCAGCTTCAAATACTTTAATCTCGAAACTGATTTTAAAACAGCCTATTGACTGTTAGGTATCTGGAGATCTCATCCCAAAGTTCATCCCATCCTAGCCCCCTTCGTCCATCTTAATTGATAATATCACAGTAGAAGTGGAATCCAATCAGTGATCAATAATATTCCAACTATGACAATCAAAGAAAGGAAAGAAAGGAACACAGGAACAAAGGCAAGAAACAAGCGGCGCCGAACTTAGAAGAAGCAGGGCGATGCCAACCATTCCTTTGCAAAACAGCCTGGTGCCAACCAGCCTAAAACAGTCAAGTCTGTTCGCCCACCTTCGCTCCCTATCTTTGCAGTATCCTTTTCCCTAGGTCCAGTCTTACCCCTAAGTCCGTTCTTAAAAAACTTCACCTCATATCATCGCAAGAGTTGCGGAATCGCAAACGGAAGCCTATCGATTGCAGCAAAAACTTGCAGCAAACGCCAATCACAAGCTTCTGCTCAAGAAATCAAGCTCAACGCTTATAAGGAGCCTCCCACTCGCAAAAGGTATAACAACGTTGCAACAACAGGCTTTTTGAAAACAAGCAAAAACGATACCCGAACCGCAGGCCGATGTCGGATCACAAACTTGGGGTTAACAAAGCCAGTTCAAGGCTATGAGATGGACTTTGTAGTTTTGGCATGGTGAACGAAAGTTCAATAAAGTTCATCTAGAAGATTTTGGTTGTAACAGGTCCTTAAAACAAGCAAACACGACGCCTGAACTGCAGGACAGCTGACGGTTACGTGTTCAGCACTGCCCAGCGTGGATAAAAGTCTACGTTGCAGGTCAGAGAATGCCTTCAGTTTCGTTATGATGGCTGAATTTTGGCTCAAGGCGTCGAAGGCAGTGTACAGATTGCTACATGTTTAATATGGTGAACGCAATGCGCGAAATCTTTTGCACAGTCGGAGCGTCGGAGCTTCTCCATGCATGTCAAAGGTCGATCAACATTTCAGCACTTGGGGAGCGGGGTTTGCTTTCACCACTGTCTTCCCCAATTGCTCTATGCTCATGCAATTAAGACTGCAGCACTTTGGCTCCTTCTATCTTGACGGATTTGTGTCCCTTTAAAGCCTTTGCGATACTCTGACCACTTTCTGCAATCTTCTTCAAGTGTTCACCTTCGAGAAAATGCCATTTAATTTGCAATTCCTCAGAGAGCTCATTCCTGGCCTTTCTCATGCTCCCAACATCACCTGCAGGATCATGGTCGAGCGACTTGTAGCAGGTGGCTGCGTAGCCAGGTCGGAGGCAAAAAACCGGCTTCCGCTTCCATGGACGATGGGAGCGGTGCCCTTTGAAACCCACGCAGTCGAAGCATTGGAAAAGATGTTTGGGATCTGCACGTCTCTTCACTGCTTCCAGCTTAGCCAATCGTTTTGTTCCCCAAACAGATTCTTGGAGGGAGATGCACTTCTTTGTCTTTTCCTGATCACTGAAAGAATCTGGGCAAGCCTTGGTCCAGTCATCCTTCAAAGGGCCTATTTCAATGGCAGAGATGTGGTTGTAGCCAGTACCACCGGGGAAGGGCTTTGTTGAAGATTTTCCACCAATGTACTCGTCGAAGGTTCCACGAAGAAAGTTTTCAACACTTTCTCCACCGGCAAGGAACATCATGAATCCTGCCTTCCTTTGAAACTCGGGCACTGAAGTAAGACCGTCATCTGACACAGCTGTGCGTGACCCAAGGATATAGGTCGAGGGGCCTCCAAGCCCCTCCTTCACCAAGGTCAGAAGGGTTGGGAGGCCACGTTCACTGTACAGCCATTCAACAGGGAGGAGAGCATTCCAGTCAACTAAATAGTTGTCTGGATAGGTGGCCGGTGTTGGGTTGTCCGGAAGTTGTGTTGGATACTGATTCATGTGGGGTGACCAGGGGAATGCAGGGATGGTGTAAAGCAAGGCTGGGTACCAATCTGGGGCCAAAGAAAAAGCAAAAATACCTCCTTGGACAGTTTCCAGCAGTTCCAGGTCCTGTTGGCTGAGACCCACACCCAAGAGCTCCTGCTCTGCGCTGGCAACAAATGTCAGCCAAACACCAAGGAAGGTGTTGAGTGCTGTGCCACCATTGCAGTAGACATTTCCTCCCCCAAGAAAAATATCAAAGTTCACGTTGGAACTTCCACAAAATGGGCTCGCATCCTCCCACGGAGCCCCTCCAGCCGGATGGAAGAAGTCTCGCAGAAATTGGAGCCACAAGGAACGGACGAGATCTTGGCAAGTCTCTTGGCTGCAACTGGGCAGGACTGCAGGAAGGGTGAACACAACGTGGTAGTCCATCTCCAGCTGTTGGTTCACCTGACCGGCATCCGACTACTTGGTGTACTTCCCAGAATGTACTACAATAATTGGTATGAAACAGGGTACCAAACCACAGCGTCATGCAACAACCAAAGCAGGTGTTTAGACACTGCTCGCCTGTTCATGAAGCTGATAGTAGACAGAAGTCACAATTCCATAGGTGCCTCCACCTCCTCCCCGCACGGCAAACCAAAGCTGCTTGAAAGTGACTGGCAATCCAACATCATCGCAAGGCTCCCATTGCCAGTTAGACTCGTCAGCGACAGGATTCAGATTGCATTCTCCTGTGACACTGAGGGTCTGAGGGTAGATCTTGCCATTCACATTCTTCCAGTCGCTGGGCATGAACCTCACATGTTTGCTGTTCGACAGCACCATCTCAATCTGCAAGAGCTGATCCACCCCGTATCCCCAGATTCGCATGCCTGTGGTGCCTGATAGACCAGAACCTGCAACCAACCGCCAGCAGCGGAGACAGTGCCCGCAGCACCACCTACAACATGGTATCTGCGTGTAGTTTGGCTTGGAAACTGATACCAGTAAACGGCCGAATAAACTTCATTCCAATTTTCTCCACCGCCCACTCTGACTACTGCAAGCTTTCCACGGGCCGCTGCCAACTTGCAAACAGCCTTCTGGTTGCTCATGCTCGTAGGAACTGGCTCCGGAAGGGTCCCACATTCAAGAATGTTTGACTTGGAATACTTCTCATAGTTGGCCATGTTAATACTTACCGATCCATGGAAGGTGCTAGAGCCTGCGTAGTTGTGGCCAGAAGTCTTGACAGAAACTGTTGTTCCCAACTGCTTCGCAGATTTGATGCCGTCAATGATGTCCGACACAGTTTCCGCAGTCACCACAGAAAATGGAAGGTTGTCTGGAGGGCACCTCCTCAACTGAGCTGTAAGCTTTCCAGGGTAACCCGCAAACTGTCGAATCTTGTCCTCTTGTAAGGCCGCACAAGCTCCTCTTTTGGGAGGCGTACAACCTTGATATGCACAAAAGAGGAAATCCTGGCAAAGGCGCGAAGCCTGCAGGTACAAGTCGTAGTTTGAATGATTCACTAGGGACATTGGGCCAGGGGCTGGAACTGTTAGTTGATAGCCTTCTTCAGCAAATGCATCTACACAATCCCTAAACCATCTCGATCGTTGCTGCTGACCTCTCGGTTGTTGACCCTTCCGTTTCCCGGTCCGCTCGGTGGTCTCAGTTTCAGTGGTGTCGGACTCGATCTCACTGTCCATTCTCGTTTCTCGCAGTTGCAGCTGACAGCTGCTGTCGGTCTGCCTGTCTGCACTCAGCGGGCCCAAAGCAAACGCAAAAGCCAGAGCCCATGTTAAACTCATGGTGAAGCTGGCCAGGGACTAGTTACACCGTCGCTATACTTGAGCCTTGCTGGTCGTCGAAAACATTCAGCTGCTCTCCTTGGCAATTGAAATCTTGGCCTACATTAAGAACTAGGCTCGAAACTTAACTTTGGAAAGGGAAAAAAAGCACAGAAAGGCCACACTGGCCATGGTTGATACTGTCTTCCAGCAGTCTGCGAGAAGTGCCATCGCCAGAGTTTTTGCTCAGCTTACCCGCGCTCATCTCAGAAAAGCCATCAGTTTTTGAATCTTCAAATAGATCAGAAAAACCTTGCATGCGCAGTGCACGTGCATCGAGAGTCTGCAAAGGCTCTCACTTGAAGCTGTTTGACTTGCTGACAAGCAGCTAGAACCACAAATAAGACAATGGCCAAACACCAAACCATAGCCTGCACCAAGTAGGCATCAAATAATCAAAGCATAACACCGTTCAAACAAACAGTCCTGGTTGCTCTGCACTCGCCGGGACATCAAAGTGAGAAACATCTTTGATGTTCCCAAATGGCCATCCACATCACCCACATGGCCCTGAATAGCAAATTCAAAAGCGGAATGTTCAACCAAATCTCTGCTTTTTTGAAGCGCCTTGGTGCGTTTCAAAGAATCCCTCTGGTCGTGGAGTTCAGACATGACATTCAGCCCGACTGCTTCGGCCTGAACACCCAATCTAAAGGTGCTTCTCTCGGAATGTTGTGCTTCCTCATGTTTATTTAGACAATATATGTTTTACAACTGAACAAAGAAAAAGGCCTCTAAAGCCGTCCGCCGTGAATCCTCAAGTCGCCGAGCTCCAGCACGGAGGCGGTTGGAACTGTCACGTTCTGCCTCTCGTGATGCACTTTTTCGGACCAACACCACCTCAAACAGACTCCGATGAGATATGGGATAAGGTCGGAAGTGGAAGCATGTGATAGCTGCAGTTCACCGTGAAGAATTCCGGATCAAGAATATGCTTAGGCTAGAAGCCCTTGGCAAAAAGCCTTCGGGGAAACAGCCATCGAGTGGAGACTTTGGTGTGGCTGAGAAGGAGAAGGGGCAATTCCAGGAATGTTCAAAAAGTGTCAGACATGTCTTTTGGGCACAAGAGGAATGAAACCCCGACATCCAGCCCTGTCCACGTCCACTCAAACCACTTTTCGACAAATCAACTTTGAATTGCGGAGCTGGACCAGGATTTGCCTATGGTGCCGCTATGCTGCCACCAAAGCAAAACAAAAGAATGCATCATCACAAGACCAAAGTTGTCCCGCCAGGAAGACACTTGAAATGAATCATATGGAAATGCCAAGACCTAACCTAGCTCAAAGGTCTACCCTCTGCATGTAGCGCCATGCCTTCTCCTCGTCCTGAGTCATTCCAGAGAGTAAACCTTCCAAATGCGCAGTCAAATCTCAAAACTCAGCGCAACAAGTGGATTTCAAGTGCAAAAGTCATGTCAAACACTTTCACATGTGGAGACCTTTTCTGCGCCACCCCAACCTTCACGTTGCAGCCTGGCTTGGATGTTGCGTACCAAGGTCCTGCAAACACTGAAAAGGCTACCCAGGGGATCCTTGCAGATTGCTCTCTCCTGCAAGCTAGCATCTCCTGCTTGTATTCTTTCCTTGCATTGCAAGATTTTACCACAGAGTTTGCCTTTGATCCAATGCACTTCGAGTTGCAACTTTCCCGACAAAGCAGCCTTGCACCACCAAAACAAAGAGAAAGAAACAAACGAAGAGAGACAAAACCTAGAGCTCTAACTCCTGCTAGTCGAGTTTCAGATCCTGACTCCCAGAGGGCCCATGGACTTCACCTCGAAGTCCATCTGCTGAAAGGCCTTAAAGCTCCAAAACTTCTGCAGAATTTAAATACGCCGTGACTAACCTCGATATGTTTGCCAGCAGTCGAAAAAGAGTTCGTTCCGCACCATATCCAAAAAACATACCAAAAACTGCGAAAGCGGTCCCTGAATGCGACCTGCAGTACACAGTTGTGAGACATGACTCTGCTTCAAAAACTTTGGTATTCCTCCTTTGGTGGCGGAGTTAATGCTGCTCTTCTCTTTTCTTGTTCGCTCTGCCTCAATCAGTGATGAAAACCATCACCTTGTGCAATTCTTCGTAGAGTTTTTGCAGCTTCACTCTGTCACCAATCCTGTTGTAGAACTCGACGCTGTCTTCAGGTTTCAATCTCTTGCCTGCAATGATGCTCCAGCTCTCAGTGTCCATCTTCTCATCAACGTCTATTGGTCCATCTGTTGCTTCGTCTTGTTCACTTGCTGCGGCGTCTGTCATCTCAATGTCATGAGTTGACATTTCTGGTCCTTCAATCTTCATCTCCAGTTGTCGCATACTCTCGGAAAGCATCTTCTAAGAGATCTATTCCGGCTTACCGGTGTCTGTAGGCAGAGATCTATTCCGGCTTACCGGTGTCTGTAGGCTTCAAACCCATGGCTTTCTGTCAAGACTAGCAAGGGCCGGTTCTTCAATAGTCCTGCAAGAAGGCTATATACAGGAAAGAACCGCGACTCTTCTCCTTGTCTCCCATCAAGGAGCTGTCAACTTCTGTCGGCGGGTTCTTTCTCAAATCTTCAAAGTCTGCAAAGTACTCGACGTCAAAGGCTGCTAAGTACTGTTCCAATGACCATGCAAAATCACGCCACATCGACAATCCTTCTTCTCTGCTCTTAGGGTCAAAGACTCCAGGCTGGGGCAATGTTTTGTACCAGCTCTTCTCATCATTTCTCTGGCTCTTCAACTCTGCCAGGGCTTGAGCCGCTACTGTGGCTGCTGTGGACGCAGCCTCTGTTGCCAACATCATTCTTCTCGCTAGGTCTGCGCCATCGATCTGCTGGCCCGCGGCTCCACTACGGCTTCCGGTTGGGCTCATTATCGGGGAACCCTCCAGACCAGCCGTTGCGTTGAAATGAGCCTCGCCCTTCCGGGATCCTCTACCGTGCGAAAGCGGTCCTTTTCTTGAACCTGAATGTGACCTGCGGTGCACAGTTGTGAGACATGAGTCTGATTCAAACCCTTTGGTAAAGGAATGTTTATTGGACATTGCATGCATTTACACGTTTGGATAGAAGAAAAGTATAAATAGCTTACAACACATGCGTTGTTGCTTGCGATGTCTAGATATTGTCTTTGTACTTTACTTCAATTTATTGAAACTGTGCATCTGGCGCTGTATGTTGGGTTTTGTTCTCTGCATTTCGTCTCCTTGCCTTCAACGTGCAATTCATGCCAACGCAAACCTGTATTTGAGTTGTGCTTTTTTGAACTTGCGTTGGTTGGATGGTTCCCAATCAGCGCGCGCCAATAAAATTGCCAGGCTTACCAAATGTTGCCCGCTTTCAAGTCTGAGGCTTAGCGTTCGCCGTTGGGGTTTAGGGCTGATATTGCAGGGCTTAGATCATTTTTCAAGCGCAAACCTGCCGCCCAGGCTCATACCACATCAATCTTTTTTTGCTGCTACTTTTCTCACATATGATTCACGTTTTTGATTGTTCACAGGGCACAGTGGCCACAGTCTGTGGCTAACTTGCCAGGTTCAAGAACAAAGGTCCTCAACGTAAGCAAGCAAGGAGGCAAGTGGGCAAGCAAAGCACGCGCGTACGCTGAAAAGATGCGCGTTTTTTCATGTCACACAGCTGCCCTGGCTTCAGCCAAGCTGAGCGGCGTCCTCTCTACAGGTGTGACGCGCAGTCCCTTTGCACATCCCCAAGTTCCCAAACCTCGCACCTCTATTCCCATGGTATCACAGACTGTGATGAAGGCGAGTTCTAAGCATCTCAACTCTGGCCACGATTGCCTGGACTCTCGCCCGTCCTCGATTCAAAGTACTGTTGAAAAAGACAAGTTTCATCGACTTCCGCAGACAATCGGCCATTGACCCCCGACGTCAATTCAGCGCAGCCCCTTTCCAGTAGAGCTCGTAGCGCTGCAAGATGCGCATTCGCTGCCCAGTCTGTCATCCTATACCTTTCTCATGAGTGCCATTTAGATCGCTCCAACTCCTGCAGCCCCGCAATAAAGGTACATGCATCTCGTGGCCTTCTGGCTTGCTGCGCGACAGTTTTCTACGCGAAGGATCCTTCCTGAAATCTCGCTCATTTTCCGGGCTTATCACCGGCTTCCACGGCATTTTGCAATTCTGGGTTCACGACGCCTGGCATCTTTCGTACAGCCCCACCGGCTCGATGCACTTGGCATTGTTCTTGCTGTCGGTGTGTTTGGTGTAGTCAGCGTGGCCTGTGTCCTGGGCAAGCGGTCTTCCACAACATAGCCCTCTTCAATCTTGCCAGCTGCGAATGTGCACAACACTCCCTTCACGCCACCCTTTCCGTGAGCAAAAGACCCTCAACATGACTGCGCGTAAGGCAACAATCGCCCCGGCGTATTCCAATTAAAGTAGGTGGCCGGGCAACACGCCTGAACGCTTGGAAGCGAATCCTGCAGCCAGGACCTCGCCGTTCATTCTCAAGCAAGAACCTTGCCAGCGTCACCGGCCCCATTGACGGGAACCTGACAGGTAACCACTCCATCTTCCACAATCGTACTGTCAGTCCCAGGAGCAACAGATGGCTCATGGGTTTGCCTTAGGAATATGTGTTGGTCACATGAGTGGATTCTTCGCTTGTTTAATGATGCAAGACAATGAGCCCGACGCTGTGCGAACCTGAACGCTTCCTTTGGGGGCTCTTTACCTGTTCCTGTCTGCGTGCTGCTCGCAACATGGCCGACAATGCGCAGCCCCATCCAGATCCCCCAAGCCTTCGCTGGAGGTCTCATCCCTCGCGTCAGCAAAGGGCCCATGTTCGACAGGAATTTTGTTGGGCTCGACGGTGGTCTCCACGCTTCATTGTAAGGGCCATAAAATGTATGACCACTTTCAATTTTATAGCAGGTGATAGCTGCTTCCACCAAAGTCACCAAAGGTCACTCTCATGACATCACTGATCGCCATGGTAGAATCCAACTCCCCCTGTCGCCACCAACGATGTCTCCGAGAGATAAGCTTGTGACACGCTAAGCGGTCCAGCTGCCTGCTGGCCAATGCGGAATGGCCCCTTTGCCTCCAAGGTTTGGAGAGAGAAGATGACTTTCCTCAGCTTTCGATCAACTTCTCAATGCCATCGACCGCCAACAATGCAGCAACAGGTGGCCATGCAGGCATGGCCTCGCAATCCTTCCATAATCAACTTCTGTACCAGTTCTGCAATCGGGGGCTCAATCTCTGAAGTGATCTTATGACGATCCAAACGATGTCTGGCCTTTGAGTTCAGTCCGCTTCTTGATTGTCTGGGTTCGTGGACTTCATCCACACAAGCCACTCATGGAATCCAGCCGGATCACCAGCACTGCAGCATAGATGTAGGGTCGGCTCTTCGTCTCCAATGGGGCTGAATCGCAGGCTATAGTCGAACATTGCCCAAGTCACGTGCAATTCAGCCAAGCTCCAAAGGTCAGCTGACGCTGCCAACACGCTCAACCAAGACGCCGTGGATCCATGAGCCGCTGGAGTAGGAGTCCGGCACAGGGAAATCAACCCTCAATCACCGGCTCCGCCACCAGTTTGAATCTCGGCCAGGGCCACATCGGTTTGCTTTTCGTTTTGCAAAGCTCAAGGGCCCTGGTTTTGAGCCAAGTCCGAGCACGCATTCACAACCTGGATGCGAAATATGGTTAACAACACAGCTATAATCACACTTGTAACTTGTAAACCACTTTGATTTCCTTTGCCTGCTGGGCTCGCTCATGACATTCGATCATTTCAAGCCTCAGCTGCTTCGGCTTTCAAAAAACCTCATACTCTGTTGGAGCCCCCAAAATCTCGCTTTTGTACTCTCTCAGTAAACGGTAGGAGCCCTGCCCTGCAGCACTACGTTCCTCGACCGGAGCATTGCCTGCAGGGACTATTCTCTGCTAGTCCAGTGGGCTATTGGGGAGAAGCTTGTGAGCAAAAGGGACACTCAAGGAAGACGTGGAATCTTGTTGCGAGGAATGACTTGTAGGTTGCCTGGACAACTTGTAGTGGCGATGAGAATGGTGTACCAACAATAGGCAAGGTGCGGTGTCCGGTTACGATTGATTCCAGGCATGTGCTGCGAGGGTGGTGGGACTGTTCTTGCTTCAATATGCGGTATCCAATGATCAGCGGTGCTCCCCTTTCGACCATCTTAATGTGTGCGACAGTGCAGTTTTTGGCAGAAGTTGTATACATATGTGCTATTGCACCAGGTTGTCTGGCTTTAGTACTTAGTGGTTGCGAGAGGTGTAGGAAGAACTTCAAAATTGAAACATCCGAAGTCACCGATTACGTCAGCCGACGCTGACGCCGCTAACTCTAGCTTTGGGTGTCCCAGCCTTCGACCACCGCTGCCAAGGTTCTCAGCCTTTGAAGCCTCAGAGACACAGGCAGGCATAGTCAACATCTTCGCAACAGCTCATGGTCACTTTTCGCTCGTCTCAGAGCTTAACAGTTCATGATAATCCTCCTGAGACACACGATGTCTCTTTTTTCCAAATCCATTCGATGCAAAGAATCTCGGTTCTAACAACACTTGCATCGTTTCTCGCTCCTCGTAGGACTGAAAGACTTCGGAGGTGGTAACCACTGCTTGGAAACCTGAAAACGCAACAGAAGGGTGAGTTTGTCTGATGCGGCGTTGATCTTTCTGGAACAGTCTGGAGGTGCTTTTCAAAACGTAGATGCTTCAAATCATTTGTGTATTCAACAGTATGCAAATGTATTGAACATTATTCAACTTATTTAACATATTTTCAATATTCTCAACCTATAGATCAAATTGACTCTTGAAACTTGCAACATGTTCCACAAGCCGACAAGCGCCGGGTCACCACGAGCCACATCCATCCGAAGGTCGGACCAGGTCAGTTGAAGGGCCAAGGCGGCCAACGTGTCACACTTCATTTCCCGTTGCAATTTCAAGATTGGTTTCGTGCAGAAAACCGGAAAACGTTCACCAAGTGGTTCAAGTCGTCTGTCCTCTAGATAGACTCCCCAAATGCACCTTCGGCATCTCTGAGGTACTTTCGCTGTTCATGCTGCACTCCGTTGAACCGACCCACAAGTCTCTAAAGCGTGTAGACTTGAGCCAAAATGCCCACGGAGCATCACAGCTCTTTGTCCATGTCTCGACTTCTGACACCTCAAACATCTCAATATGGGTTTTTCAGCGGCTATGGCAATGGCTGTTTTGCATTCACAACTTTGCGCTAGAGCTTTGCACAGCGCACTTATCTGTGGTGGGAAAGCGAATTGGCAGGATCTATGCTCTACGAAACACAACAATGGTGATTGAAGACACACACATTTTCCATTTTGGCGGACAAAAACTTTCAATTCCTGATTGAATCGATCTCACCCACGGAAGCTCAGAATTGGTCCAAAAAGAAGTCATGTGGAGAAGTCATCGGGTGTTTGCCGGGGGATGGTATCTGAAAAACAACGGACAAAACAGAAAAGACCCAGGGCGTTCAATCGAGTTGGCACGCGTGTGTGGTGACTGTGGTGCCACACGAGTTGATGCGACGGAACAAAACTTGATAAACACAAAACCCTCGGATTAACGGGTTGTGTCGGTTGTGTCGTTAGCACCGAAAAATGCAAGATTTCCCTGCATGTTGCAATCAGAACCCGTTGGCTTGAAAATATCGCAAATGTCATAAACAAGTTCATATCAAATTTTGTCGAATCTTGCACGATGACGTCATCTTGAGATTGCCTGCAGTGCACGAATCAGGAGTTGTTCCGCTTATGGCCTCTTGATCCTAACGTGAAGGACAACTCCTATTCTGTGAAACTCTCACCACAGACCGGTGAAACTTCGTCAACGGATCACGTTGAGACCGCAAGGGCTAAAAGCTCTGACTCGAATTGTGAGTGCTTCAATTGAATCCGCTGATGTAGCCTGCAAAGCAAGAATTTTGCAAAAAGTGGGTCGGACGCAGTCCCCACAATGCTGCCAGGCCACGCACGCAGCCAGAAGGAACTTCTAAAATTTCCATCTCTTCAGCATCATCATAACGCAGATGGCACTTCACGAGCACCTCGCACGGGCTGAGAACGGATTCGTCACCACACTCCATTTACTTCATTTTCATTTTTGGCCCCCTCGAGCCATCTCGAGCCTCTGGGCACAAGGCTTCAGAGACGTCCTTGGGCGAATTCCAAACGCACCATTTTCAAACGTTCATAAATCGCCTGTATGTGTGCTGCGTGTGTGTCCACATTGAAAGCCTGTACAGCTGCCAGTGCATCGGGACACTGGATCAACACTTTCTCAAGTGTGAGTCCCACATGATTCTAAGTGTCGCTGTATCACGCGGCGTTTTGCTGTGGGCTAATGAGCTGTCTGTTTCACCGTAGATGGCTTCCAAGAGTCAATGCAAGCTTGAACTCTCTTGAAGCCTGTAGGGTGCATCCATCTTGTGTGGTGTGATACTTGTTGGCAGGGGGTTGCAGCGAATATCATACTGTGTTCACACGTGGGTCTGGCGTTTTGGGCATTGAAATCTGGAGACTTGAGTTTAGAATCTGGATTTGAGGTCTTGAATTTGGAACTCTGACCTTGGAATTATAACGGAGTTGACTCTTGAGTTTGACACTAGGATTTTAGAATATTATATTCACCCAGGTCCTGACACTTAGGTATCGGGTTGAAACTGCTCTTTCCTCAAGGGCGTGTTTGGTCGCCGCTAAGGCAAAAGAGGGTGTTTTTGAACACATTCCACCAAAAGAATCTTTGACAGTCGATCTTGAGAAGTGTATATACCCATGTCTCTCCATTTGACTGTTTCATCCAAGTTACAGCTGTTTCGCCATTCTCCTGCAAGCGCTGACCAGGGATTGCATCGGCTATTTCCTCTGCATCCTGCAAGCCATTCCAAAGAATCCAATTTCCCTGTCTCATCACAGCACTCTGACTAATCCCTTGGTCCTCCAGGATAACAGCATCAACCCAGCCAAGGAACCTTGATAAAATGCTAAACGTGTCAACAACTGGCTTCTGCACAAACCAGTCAGCATTGTGGGCGTCTAAATCCTTAACCCTTCGCCCCCACAGCAAAAGAACAGGGTATCCGAAGATGAGAAACAGCGCTCACTATAATTTACCATCAGCTAGCGAACTGTGCAATGGAAAGAGATGTGCTCAATTCTCTTCATACAGACGAAGGCACGCCCCTTGGTAGATTTGCGCCGCTTGGGAGGCAACAAAGCGCCGCCTGCAACAAATGCGCTTTGAACACCTCATTGACGCATGAGCATGCTTCAATGCATGGCTTGCAAAACAAAGAAATACCGCTGACAATAGCAAGACTGGGCCTAAACAAGCACGGCGCAACCAAGGACCAAGACACCAAAACATGAGTGGGAAACAAAACTTCTTCCTGTCCCCCAAGAGACCATCGCTAGGTTGGAGGCGCTATGGCTAACTCAAAAGAAGAGGTTCTTTTGGCGTCGCTACTAGGGGCTCCTGGCCTTACTACTAGTAACAAGAAGCTACTAGGAACAAGTGCATCGCTACTAGTAACAAGTGCCTTACTAGTAGTAACAAGAAGCTAGTAGAAACAATAAGTGTAAAACCTCCCAGCTCAAGGCCGCCCCGAGGGAACGCAAGTGAGACGCAAACAGAGATGGCTGAGACACCACCCATTAGTTCCCAACCACTTATGGAGTACAACCCCAAGCTATCGCTATTGGGGAACTTCACTTGGCATGCTCTTTTCAACTTCTTTTTGTTTTGGTTCACTTTTGTCGTCCTTGTATTCTTGCTTGTTCATGGCATGCCGGCCTCATCTTTCTTCTCAAACTCATCAAGAACCCAACACGCTCACACGCTCACATGTTGGGAGGCACAGCAAGTTGATAACCTCCAACCCTCTTGCCTGTCTCTTTATTCGTTCTGCAAGGCACCACTTGGAGCTGAGGAATGTCATAGGGGAAGTAATATGTATGCTCATAGTCAGCGTCTTGTTGCAACAGCGTACCCATCAAACGTGCGGATTTGCGAGCCTTTAATGAAAAAGACTGAACCAAACAACCCTTAGCGGGGTTGAAATGCACTGAGGTGCAATGGCTTCAGTTATCTCAAGCACCGTGTTGCATTTGCCTAAGGCGGCCAGCTACTGCCACAGCAGGCACACTCTTCTCATCCAGCACATCCAGCTCGTAACCCAACCTGTTCGCGACATGAGGCTAAGTAAGGGAACATGAAAGCATCAAAAAGGTGTCATGTAACATCATGTAACTATGTACCATCAACCAGACATGTCCATGTCCATGTGCCAAATTTCAGACGCAGTTTGACTTCCAACAGGTGAGACAAAAGTCCAAAAAGCTGGTGTCCCGTGTCCCCGTCGTGTCTTGGTCTCAGTCAAACTCAGCTTGACTGCATCAGCCAAATCACACAGCCAGCAACACAGCCGTGCCAATCTCGGGGCAAAAAGTAACAGTGCAAGGGTACGTCGCAAAGGCCAAGTGTGAGAGAAATAGTCTTCTGAAAAAACTAAGGATGAGAAAACTTGTGATACTTTGCACTCCTATGAATTGTGAAGCGCAGCAAGCACAACTGCAAGAATCAGATCGAAGTTCGGCACATATTGCTACACGGTGTTGCCACAAGGCTACACATAGCAAGTGGGCATCCCACAAGCAAGCGAAGCACAGCACACAATGCAACAGGGCTATATACTCGAGCACAACAGCTGTTCGGGTTCCAAGCTTGGGCTTATCTACCCTGAAAGCCAAACGTCGTGGAGCTGTCCTTGCTAAGCCCATGTGTTTGCTTCTGGCTTTTATACCACTTTGCCACCAGCTCCCTACATACCACGAGTCGAAGTCCAATAGACATCCCGATGTTTCGAAGACGGCTGTGAGCGAATGACGGCTGTGTTTGTTCACTTTGTTCCCCGTTAAGTCGGCAGGTTCCCGGTATGTTCCGAAGTTCTGTCAAGTGGCATCAAAGCTCTTGGAGGTGAGACGATCTTGGCATTCGTCCAAGAGGTTTCAAGGCCAGAAAAAAAGCCTTGGCGGATGGTTTTAAAGGCCACTTCTGAATCAAGTTAATGAAGATATGATATCCAGTCTTCAGTCTAAATGCAGAAGCTTGAGACTGCTGCTCTCGTCATTGACTGTGGTGCATCATCCAAACGTACATCAATTCAGCTACAGTAAAATGAGACGCACTACAGTTTGCATGAAGGTCTGTTTGATCACCAGCACTTGTGCATGCCCAAGAGCCAACATGTTCCCCCTCCGCAAGCGTAGGTCTGATGAACTTGATAGGAACATTGTGACCTTGACAGCACTCGGTTGTGCAGAAACGGCAAGCTGCACGTGACTTGAAACGGTTCTTTTTACGACAAGTGGCGGCGCTGCCGTCCAACCCGAACTGTATAGGATGGAAGACCGTCCTGATTGAACGGCAGCCGCACTGATTGAAATGAAAGTTGTCGAATCAAGTGCTGGCAGCACAAGACATGCTCCGAGTGTCATCGCCAAATGCTCCAGACGAAACGATGACTGCGTGTGTCCAAATTCCATTCCTCACGGCCAAGGATTGGCTTTAGTTCTGCGATGTTTCGGTCGACACGATCGGCAGAGACACAGACCGAAAGAACAAGTGATCGGATACCATTCCATCGAAAACAAGACAGGTGACTTCATCGACTTCTATTCTGCTTGGATCTAAGCCAGGAACCAGGACACAAAAACACAAACAATGTACAGGCGGGCAGCGAAGCAGAGAAGTACTCGACATTCTCATTGACGGAGTAAGCATCCTGCATGAAAGCCATGCGATTGAAGCACTGCACCAGCACTGGAGCACTCAAATGTGAGTGGAACAACATGAACGATGTCATGTGCCCAGCCTTGCGAAAGCCGCAGCCCGAGTTGAGAATCTTCGTCAGCCCTGAATGGCAACATGCCCGGTGCAAGGTAAATCGGGGATAATCGGATACTCGAGAAACTCTGCTTCCATCTTCCATCTTCCGCTAAGGTGGTCTTTGGAGCTGAGACTTGCTCTAGCCTTTTCGACTCTTGGTGCAAACGATTCTATATCACAGCTATAGAGCCTGCAATGCCAGCACGCCATCGACTTTCTTGGACCTTTTTGTCCTTCTCTTTCTTCGGCTTTGACCTGCAATGTATTTCGCAAACCCAGAAATTGATTGATGAGAACTTGTTCGGCTGAGTCACTCGAGGGGTGCCGATCGAGCGATACACCAATGCAACCGGTCTGGTCAACACCTAACCTGAACACATTATGCACCCGCCACACCATGTTGGACTGGAGCATTACGTAGTATCTGAAGGATGAGATAGCACATGAAAGAAATGTCTGTCTTTGCGGCTAGTGTTTCTATGATTCTTGCCTCAGATACCTTGCAGTTTTGAGCAACCCTGCCTCCGGTTAGGTGACGTCGCATTGCTTGGAGCGTTCGAAGCAGCTTGGCCACGCAAGTCGCGTGGAGCCTTTCCCTGACAAAGCAAATGAAACAGTTCCATCATCCTTCAGAAAAACGATCCTTCGACTTTGGCCGACTTTTGTCCTACGTGTTCAGATCCAAATTGGCCTTTTTTCGTTTTCCGCAGAACGTTAAGTCTGTGTCTTTGCCGCCGTGTCTAGGGCGGTGGTGTTGTGAGGCCCAGCTTCTGAGCGCGCTGCTCAGCTGATCGGCCACGCCAATAAATCGCCAAGAACGAAATGCTTCGACTGATGACGAACGAGAACCCAATGTCACCCACAACCAGAAATAGAATCTTCCTTTGAAAATCAGGTGAAGGGCTCAGCACTAGAGACAAGGAGTGGTTTAGCTCCGGCAAAGCTTCAGATGCACATGCCACGATGACAACTACAAAGAAGATCAAGCTGTACATCAAGGGCTTGTTGGCAGACAAAGGTTGCATAAACGGATGGCCATCATAGTTGGCCAAGAATGATGCAGCATGCATTGCTGCCATGAGCTCAAAGACAACGGTGTTGGTCAAATTTGGTTCGAAGTCTCCTTCTAAATCACGCTTGAAATCTTTTGCTCGAAACTGATTCGCCATCTGCCAGCCACAAAAAAGAGTGATGAGATGAATCAGCAATTGACATGCCAATGTGGTCATCACTGGCCAATCAAAAACTGAATTGATTGGCTGCTGCTTGGCCAGTTGTTTGGCTGGCGCGCTCCTTGACACCAAGAAGAAGCACATCGAGGTGAAAAGCGACTCCACAGCGGTTTGCCCATCACCCAGCTTTACTCCATCTAACGTCAAAGCTGACATTGCAAAAGCCGAAAGCACGCTATTCAGGCCCATGATCTTGTACATCATCAAAACCGAGCAAAGTGTGGCGCGTCCGCTTCGAAGAACTTGAATCGAACATTTGATTGAGTCGCCTTTGTAGGTAAAAGGGCTGGCAATGCTGGCATCTCCTAGGCGAACGAGTGGAGCTTGACCGTTGTCAGCAAGCATTTCACTTGGAGTCTTCGGAGTCTTTGCAGGCCTCCTTACCGTTGTTGTCATCAGGGAGATTCCCACATGAGCATGCTTCAGTGCACCAACATCGTTGGTCCCATCACCCACCATCACGGTGTGAGAACGCTGGTTCAAGGCCAAAATGATTTGTTCTTTCTGCTGTGGTGAAACTCTGGCAAAGACTGTGCTCGCCTCGACCACTTCTTCCAGCTCGGACTTGCTAAGCTGCCCCAAAGCCGAGCCAGGAACACAAAGGGTGTGTGACTTCGCAAGTTCGAAGACAGATCCTGGTGCCTCGCCAAGACCTGCTCGGAAAGGGATTTTTTGATGCACTTGATGATCTTGATACCTCCACTCAAGGCCTCCCTCTGTTCGCTCAAGAACTAAGAATCGGCCATCTGCCATGTGGACATTTGTGGCAACTTGGCACGCGGTTTGTGGATGGTCTCCGGTGATCATAATGACCCGGTGGTAACTTTTCCGAAGCTGTCTGATTGTGCTAGAAGTGTTAGGCTTCACGGAATTTCGAAGAACCAATAAACCACAAAACTGCAAGTTGGACTCAACAACTTCCCGCTCTACTGCCTCAACATCCTTTTCATTCATCTCTTTCGCTGCCAAACAGAGAACTCGAAATCCAGATTTGGTGAGCCGATCCTGCAAGTCATCCAAATTATCTGGGATTTGAACAAGTCTTGGCTTCAATGCATCGCAAGAGCCCTTCACCAGACCCAGCAAACGATCAAAACTCGCTGTGCCCTCCTCCCTGTACTCTTTGTACCCCAAGCCGGGGCCCTGATGTCTCACAAGTACTGCCATCCGCTGCAATTCTGATGCAAATGGATATCTCCTCCAGGGAAAGGCAAAGGTGGAGACTGCAAAGGTACATTATTTACACTCGTTAGCTGACTGGAATTGCAAGGGTTCTTCCTCTAAATACGAAAGAAACTCAAGGCTTGAAAGTGCTTTGGCTGTACTGTACATTTGGCTCAACTGAAAAGAAGTATATAGAACAAAGAAGAACACGCCTCAATATGTGAAGACGATCGCCCCCTCGGCTTGGCTTTGAAGTGACCAAATCTGGTCCTATCATCATCCACTGCACAGCCTGTAGAGCAGCTTTTTCCAAAGGATCACCAACGATCTCACCCTCGACGAGGGTCAAGCCGTTGCATGAAGTCATCACAGCAGTTGACAAAAAGGGCAACTTCTGTTCCAAAACTCCTGACTCGAAGAGATCCGCATCCTTGGAGTTCACCGAAGAGTGCTTCTGTGGCTTTTCATCTTTATCTTTTTCTTCAGCTCCTTCCTTCTCTTCTGGGGCGGGATATGTACAAAGACCATGTACCCCCCCAACCTCCATAGTATCACTGGTCAAAGTGCCTGTTTTGTCAAAGCAACAGGTCTGGATTTGACCTGCTAAAGGTACTCGGAAAGGCTCGGTGCAGAAAATGCCTTTCTGCACAAGCGCCACAAGGCTGAGATTTACGGCTAAGGACAGCATGATCGGAAATTCCGGTGGCACTACAGATGTGATGATGTGACTCACCGAGAGCAACAATTTGAAGGTTGATCGTGGTGTTTCTGTTCGAGGAGTCACAACGAGGCCGTCATAGAGCACATACGCACATGCCACGAGCGCAAAGGCCAACAGAATCAAAATAAAGAAGTATGCCTCTTTGCTGGAAACCGTCACTCTGTCAGCACTGAAAAGAATTGTTCTGCACAATTTCCCTTGTGTTGTATCGAAGCCAGTGCGCAACACGTATCCCACTGACACCGCTGAAGAGCCAGCACGAGGCACCTTCTTGAAGCGAGAGGAGTTTTGCGAATTCTGATGCATCATAATATTTGTTCCAGCACTTACAATGTGCTGCCTGTGACGGCCCACCATGTCCAGTTGTTCGTCAAGACCAGATGCAACATGAACTTTCATCTGTGGCACGCTTTCACCTGTCAGCATGGCTTCATTCACTAGGACATTTCCTTGGAGAAGGAGCACGTCGCAGGGGAACGATGCTTCCGGATTACGTTGAATGCCGATAATGTCACCGGGCAAAAGCTCATTGCTCTGAGCAATCTTCCAAATTCCATCACGCAACACAAAGGTTGGTCGTGGTGGGATACGCATGGCTCTCAGTTCGTGCAAGTCACTGAGGCGTCGGTGTACCATCTGTGCTTCCAGAACCACAAGCAAAACCAATGTCAAAAGCGAATAGTACCAATATTCATCCATCAGCCACAGTAGAACGCAAAACAGCTGGAAAACAAAGAACGGTGCCACTGCATGTTCCTTGAAAAGCTCACTGAAAGTTGGCAAGGGGATGTCATAAATGTTTTCCCCATACCTTCTGCTTCTCTCACTAACCTCTTGGGCTGTCAACCCAGAGGCATTGAGGTAGTGTTTCAAAGGCAATGTGATGTCGTATCGTAGGCGCTGAAAGCTGCCATCTTGTTCACAGAAAGCAAATTTTTTCTTCAAATAAAGAAATGATATTTCTCCATCCTGCCGCTGCAAAGGCACTAGGAGAGTCTTCGAGTTTGGCTGACTGTTCTGATCTTGGGGCAGCGGCAGCACTTTGACATGCGATGCTTGGTCAACATGACGCTCCCGTTTGAAACGAACAAAGCAATTCACTTCGACCGACCACTGGGTCGCAAGGAAGAGAAGGACATGGAGCACCACCGGCACCAGCAAGAGAAGAAAATGATCGGTGACAACTTCTCCCCTGCTGGCAGCGAGCGAAATGAGCACTGCCACTGCAGCAATGTAGGCGCTCACAAACGGAATTTCATCATATGACCAACGGGCTGGACGCCGTGAGTAGCATTCGAAACGATATTTGGGTTTCGTCTCCATGGTCACTACCCTTAAGCAAAACACACGGAATGCAAACACGTGCAATTGTGCAAACAATCAGTTTCTTGGCAAGAACTTGCCTAGCAGCTGCAATATGTCTGTGACTTGTTCAAGATTAATGATTAATGCATGCATCAATGGATCGTTTTTTCTAATGCCGCTTCAAAACGCTTACAGGCCAAGTGGGTTGTTCCCGCCACACCCCTGGCAGTCCTCCCCAACTGTCGTCAATAACACCTGGCAGTTTGACATGAGCAATGTCTTCTTTAACTCGTTCAGCCTCTCTTGCAAGAACTCAAAAGAGCTCAACTATCATAATGTTGATCGAACAAACAAATTGAGTGAACAATGCGTCAACTTCCTCACCTTGCCCGTAGAAACCAGGCTTCTTGTAGATGGGCTCTGTGTATCAAGCTGCCAGGATACCACTGTTTTCTGCGCAGAGACGCTGGTGGCAAGACTCTCTCTTCTTTTGTATCAAGAAACCTTATGAAAGTGTGAATTCACAGACACCTTTTTCACTTAGTCTCGTCTTCAATTCGACTTCGTGGAAAAGTCGAAAGCCAAAACATCTGCCTTGTCCTTTCCGCTTTTGCGGCCTTGGAACTTGCGAACCAAACATCGGTTGAGCTCGCCCAATGTGGGGTGCAGGCTGGCTGAAGAGGCTGCAGATTTCGTCGACTTTGCTGGGCCGACCTCTTTGAACAAAGAGAACAAACCGAAGAGTCGCTGTAGAAGAGCTGTCTCATCTCGTTTGCGAACCTGTGCCTGTGACTCCTCGGTTCCTGGGAAGTTAGGCATTGTGCAACTGCAATACGACAAAGTGAAAAAGAACTCACTCAAATATGTCCAGGTCCAGTAGAGACATATACAGTAAAAAAAAGCTATTACAAAAAGCTTGTTCTACAAATTGCCTTGATACATACTTTGCATCGTTTCGCTACAGAATGTCTAGGAATCTAAAAACATTTTTGAATGTCCACTACCAGCAGTGGAGAGTCCTTTCCGCTCGAAGACATGGAAGCGAACTTCCTGTTGACAAAAATTGTGCAAATCGGAAGGCACTATTTAAAGCTACTAGGAGCAAGGACGCTACTAGGGGCTCCTGGCCGTACTACTAGGAGCATCCTTACTACTAGAAACAAGAAGCTACTATGTTTAATGAAATATTATTTGTTTAATGAAAATGCAAAGCTCAAAGTGGACCGAGCAGTTTCACTGCGAGAACTTCAAGGGAGACAAGCCCGGGCCCAACTGGAGCCGCTCAGTGACTTTAAGTGAAGCTTGCAACTTGCAGCTTCTAAATCAGCTATTTACTGGGAGTTGAAACGAATCCAACAGGCAAGCTAGAACCGAAAAACTGTTTCCATCCACCAGAACCTGCAGGCCGGTCCTCCTTCACGCCTGTTTTCGAACTTTTGAGGGTGATTGCCTAAAATGGTGCAATGAGCAATCGTCGATCAACATGTGCTTTATCCAGAAAGCTCTATCATCTCAGACAGTGGCTCCCACATCCGGTTTCTTCATCTTCCATCGGCCTTCAAAACCAATACAAATCTTGTGAAATCTTGTCAAAAGAAAGGAGCATCTGCCAAGAGGCAATAGAAGCAGCAGCCACTTAGTGCCTCATTCAAACTTCAAACAGCACAGCCCGGAGCTATTGATTCCAGTGTGCACCTTCTCAAAGATTCCACTTCGGGAGATTTGTCACGGCTTCGGAACACTAAAGGGAACTGCCCAGCTCCCAAAAGAATGCTCATAGGTTGGCCAAAAAAGACATGCGAAAATAGAAAAACAATTCAAGAACACATAAACCACAAAACGTACCACTGTACACGTTGGCGCTAAGCGCTTCTTTTGTCTGTTGCGTCTCAGGCACACAGCTGCAAACAAAGACTCCGGCAAGGATGGCGCCCTGAGACGGAAAAAGCTGAAATGCTTGTGAGGTACCCTAGGCCGTGGAGCTGGCTAACTAGTGAGGCAAGAAGCAAGAGGGAAGCTACTAGGTTGCTAAGTAACAGGAAGATAATTGCAGATTCCTAGATATAAAACAGCTTCGTAAGCTTCCCGACAAGATATCCGATCATCTCCGACATGTTGCAGTCATCCCTTGGAACTCAATTCACGAATCATCGACATGCACTGTACGGTTCTTGCCAAGTGTCACTGAAGCTTCTGGGTTTAGGCCTCAGGATTCTCTACAAAACCACTACATGGCCTCAACATGTGCTTCTGGGCAATGTAGGTGAGACATGTCCAGCGCCATGCACCATCCTTGCAGCCAGGACACACTCCATGGCTTCAACAAATGCTTTCACTAACTACTACTGGCTTCAGCCAGAATTTGCATGTATACGTGGGGGAGGAAGCCCAAATTTGGAGTTCAATGTGTGACTTCTACTACCACTTTACCGCTGTGCTATACCCCGTGGCTGCTTGATCACAGTGTCTGCAACATCCAAGCAAACAGCTGGCTGCCTCACTGAAAAGGCCAAGAAGTCGCGTTAGCTCACAAATTGCACTCCGCATATTTTTTGGAGCTCAGTTCTCGCTTAGCGAGTGTAGCCCCCACCGGCTTCGGAAGGCACCTCACGCACGTCGAAAGTCTGGATCTGCATCATCTGCATCCTATCTGACCAGTCTTACCTTCTTTTTGTATAAACTCGCGTAGACAAGGCTTCATTAGCCGTTTCCTGCTACGAACTGTTTAGGCGATCGTCAAACAACAAAATTGTTTCGTTGATCTTTGGCAGAAATAGCACTGGATGAAATCCCTACATGATCCAAGCTTATGGTCGTCCGCAACCTCAGCCACTTACAGCCCCAGGAACCGTTCGCAGCATGATAATATCAAATGTGCTTCCGTCTTGAAGCAAAATGGTGGAAAATTGCTAGTCAACACCGAGCTTTCCACCAATGCCCAAAGAGATTCAGGAAGCCCTGTCACATTGGGATCTCCACCTTGCACAAGAGCGAAGCAGGTATAGAAACAGTTATATAGCTGAATAGCTGCGCAAAACAAAGAGCAACATTCTGTCCGCAAAAGCGAAAACTATGTGGCAACAACTCTGATCTCCCAGCCCTGCACTTAAACAAGTCTGTACCAACACAAGCGCACGGGTATGGCGGTATGCGGTCCGTATGTCAACTCACAGGTTTGCTCTCATCTTCGCACGGAAGTCTGGACCTCTGCAGGTCACAATGTGCCATCGAGTTCCGTCTCAGTGCGCGAGAGTGTGTGCCCTTGAAGTCATAGGGATCCAGTCGGATTGTGCTGATTTTGCTTTTAGTTTGTTATCAGGGGGATGGACAGGACGTATGAGGCTCCATCCAACGAAGCTCCTCATACGATCCTAGGATATCATCAGGGACGCCTGATGACGTACCTGCAGTTTTACTTGAGAAGCTTCATCGTGGGCCCTACTTGTAACTAGAACAAGACATCCAGCCTTTGCACCGGTTCATCATCGCCAGATGCGCATTGTTTTTCACTTAGGCTGGCGTGTGGCACCACATTCGCATCAGTATGCACTTCTATAAGTGTGTCTGGCTTCATGCCAGCCCAGGGTGACCCCGCAGAGTGGCCCCTGTGGACCCGTCGAAGGGGGGTTTGTCTATGTTTCCAATGCCGTGGAACACACGTGCCCAGAGCGGGCGTAGTAGGCTTATGCCAAAGTTATTTGGCAAGATTTGTCGGATTATTGAATTCCAGGCTGGCTCATGCCTTTACGTGACCGCAGCGGTCCAAGCTGGCTTAACGCCTCAACGTGGTCAGAGCGACCAAAGCTTTTTGCGGTTCGTTGGAAAGTGCCTGCCGGAGGCCCAGAGTGATGAGTTCCTCCCCACATACCATTGCAGATTCACCGCTTCTCGTAGCTATTTCAATCCATCCCACCAGTGTCCGGAGCTTAGGAAAAAGGAATGCCTCCCTTCGGGGAGGCGTGTGTGTGTGTGTGTGTAACCCTTGGAATCATAGGGATCCTTTTGGATTTGCTGCGCCTGTTTTCTTACACTTTCGTTCTTACCATAGCAGGGGGATGCCGGGGATTTCCATGGTCGGCATCCAACGAAGACACCATGGACTTCCTGTGATATGAGTCAGGGACGCCTGACTCACGTACCTGCATTTTCATACGGAATGGCACGAGGCTAAGCCCAGAACCTCACTCGGCAGCCATGAACGAACGTCGTCACCCTGTCGGACCGTCTTCGCTTTGAGCTTTTGGCCTTCTTTCCTCTTGAAGTCCTCAAGGTTCCCGTGGGTTGTACATGTACTCTTAGGAATTGGAACCCTAGGCCGGCATGTGGCACCGCTTTCAGTTCAGTACACAATATCCTAAGTGTTTTTGGTCTTGCGCCAACCCGGGATGAGCCCGCAGAGTGCCTCCCGTGGACCCGTCGAACGGGTGTACGTCGTTATCTCCCCTGCCCGGAGATGTACGTGTTCGCAGCGGACAGTAGCTGGCTCATGCCATAAGAACTCAAATTGGTCCCATCTTTGGAATTCCAAGCTGGCTGATGCCTTTACGTGACCGCAGCGGTCAGAGGTGGCAGCCCTCGGGCAAGCCGTACGTGGTCGCAGCGACCAAAGTTTGTTCAAGGTTCATTGGAACCTGTCGCGAGCTTAGTCCCCCCTCCTTCCCCTTCCCTCCCCTTTCTTTCCTTGCTTTTTGGGGTTTTCCTGAATGGAAGACTCAGGATCACCCCTTTCTTTCTTTGGTGTGTCCCTGGACGTTTGTTCGTAGCTGGGAACACCTGCCTTTTCCTTTTCTCTCCTCTCCCTTTCTCTCCCTCTCTCTTTCTCTCTCTCTTTCCTCTCCACCTTCCTTCCTCCTTGGGTGTCCCTGGATGCTTTGTCATAGCTGGGAACCCTTCTCCGCTCCTCCTTTGGTGTGTCTTTGGACGCATGCGACGTAGCTGGGAACACCTTCCTTTCTTCTCTTTCCTTTTTCTCGTCTCTCCCTACCCCTCCCTCCTGTCGGGACCTTAGCTTGGGTTGCTACTAGGGGCTCCTGGCCTTCCTACTATAGGTGCTAGGACGCTACTTTGACGCTACTAGAGGTTCCTGGATTTGCTACTACTTTGTCGATACGCCTCCCCTCGGGGAGGCGTGTGTGTGTAACCCTTGGAATCATAGGGATCCTTTTGGATTTGCTGTGCCTGTTTTCTTACACTTTCGTTCTTACCATAGCAGGGGATGCCGGGGATTTCCATGGTCGGCATCCAACGAAGACACCATGGACTTCCTGTGATATGAGTCAGGGACGCCTGACTCACGTACCTGCATTTTCATACGGAATGGCACGAGGCTAAGCCCAGAACCTCACTCGGCAGCCATGAACGAACGTCGTCACCCTGTCGGACCGTCTTCGCTTTGAGCTTTTGGCCTTCTTTCCTCTTGAAGTCCTCAAGGTTCCCGTGGGTTGTACATGTACTCTTAGGAATTGGAACCCTAGGCCGGCGTGTGGCACCGCTTTCAGTTCAGTACACAATATCCTAAGTGTGTGTGTGCCCCTTGAAGTCACAGGGATCCAGTCGGATTGTGCTGATTTTGCTTTTAGTTTTTTAATGTTTTTTATCAGGGGGATGGAGAGGACGTATGAGGCTCCATCCAACGAAGCTCCTCATACGATCCTAGGATATCATCAGGGACGCCTGATGACGTACCTGCAGTTTTACTTGAGAAATTTCATTGTGGGCCCTGCTTGTAACTAGAACAAGACATCCAGCCTTTGCACCGGTTCATCATCGGCAGATGTGCATTGTTGCTTTGGATGTGCTTCGTACTTACCCCTGTCCTGGTTTCTTAGGTTTTTCACTTAGGCTGGCGTGTGGCACCGCATTCACATCAGTATGCATTTCTATAAGTGTGTGTCTGTGTGTGTGTGTGCGCGTGCACATGTGTACACGTGTGTGGAATAAAGGCGCAAAGCCCGCACTCACTTCGCCCACTTTGCGGATTCCCTCTTGTCAGCTCTCGCTTTCATCGTCCTTCTCGGCCAATAGGTTCTTGAGCTTTGGTGTGCGTCCCAGTTCCGCGGTCCACAGGATATGCATTTGTCCACTGTAATCTGCAAAGTGGGTTTGTGTGGCAATCCCGTGTCCATCTTGCAAACCAGCGGCTTGGGTTGGCGGCGGCTCCGCTCATCCCCAAACACTTCAAAAACGAAAGTTGAATGTAAACAACTGCCTCCAACCTAATAGCAATGGCCTCAAACTGTCGGAAGTTTCACCAGTTCATGCGAGAGTTCGTCCACTGGAACTCATTGCTGTCCGAGCTGAAAGACTCACTCATCCTATCTTCAGCTAGGCTCCCTGATTTTTCGGTGAAAGTCCCTGAGTCTTAAGGCAAGTCGCAAGCAGACTCGCTCGGCGCACCAAGGTCTACCGATCGTACCGTGTAGAGGTGGCCCTGAAAAAGCACTACAAAGCGAGCAAAAGCACCGAGGTGGCAAACCGTTGCCTCTGCCAAGTACAGCATTTGTTTTGCCTCTTCCTGACGCCAAGCATGCAAAGTGTGAGCAAAGCACTAAACCTCTCTTCTCTAAGACATGCTCTGAGTTTTGTCCTCTGGGTCTAAGAGCTGGGGCACAAGGATGGTGTCATTAACCTCAAACTGACCCTCTGAAGAGACCTGAAGCAGAAGTGTGAAGTCTGAAGTGTTCAAGCTGTCAGAGGTCTCACGTGTCTCCATGTTTCTCCTCTCACACTCGAACCAAAAGCCCACAGACTCCTTGTTTCAATGTAAACTTCATGCGTGACTTATTAGACTTGTGAGAGAGCGGATCTGAAAAGCTGTCAGAAAGTATTGAAAAGCTCTGAGGAGCATGCAGGAGGTGGGTATCGTATTCCGGTGTTGTCCAATTCCCTGGGCCCAAACGAAGCCAAAAACGCCAGGATTAGCCACAGAATTCGCAATGTCTTTTTTTCACGTTTCATTTCATATGCAGCTGAGGCAACGGTGACGACTGGCGCTCAGGACCAATTCCTCGACTTCAAGGGCACAGCAACCCGAATCACAGCTGACCGCTGACCCTACCTGGCTGCTGATTCTTGTCTTCGCTTTTTTGGCCGCTTACAACAATAAAATCCATGTACCCCCTGACTCTCAATGTGCAGCTAAGGCTGTTCAAAGGCTGTTAAGAAAACCGCCCCTGCATGCCTTCTGCAAATGTGCAAACTTTGAGATCATCCCCAATCATCGCTCTAAATCGTGCAGTACTTAGATGATAGAGACCATAACGATATCACAGCTGAGGACACTCCAGCACATGCTGGCCTTGAGGAAGCCAATTCGGACTTGTACAAAATGTGGGGCTTGGCCACTCTGAGGACAAAATGCATGGTCCCGAGGCAACTGAGAGCTTTTTAGACGAAATGAAAGGCAAGTGTGCTTTGGACGCTTTACGCAAAAGACTAGCGGTGGTAGTCCCCAGAGGTGGGATGGACGGTAATCGCTTTCGATCTACTTAGAGCAATCCGAAATCGTCACTACACGCTTTCTCAGTGAGGGGTATTCACAATGCGAATTTCAAAGTCTCAATCTCTCTCAAACCACACGCAGTATGAACATGTGCATGCAGGCAAATTGAAGGTGGGTAGACATGAGCTTGTTTGAAAGTCTATTTTCGCCTACTTTCACCAGCATTGAACAGGGTCACACTACAGATTGGAGCACACTACATCATGCAAGCAAGCAAATGCAGTTAAGTTACAGTATTTTAGACTGCAAAACATTGCCGAGCAAATTACAGCACAGAACAACTACACAACATTACACAACTACCGGATCGAGAGACAGCAGCTGCAAGCGTAGGCACACTGAGCTGGCGAAAGGACCGCGCATTTTGTCAAAGCTTTCCAAAAATTCTACTGCAAGGAAAAGGTACATGACACTCGGTTGAGAGGTCCCTCATTTGAAAGCTCTCCTTCCCTCTCCTTTCTCAATATGCTACTGCCCTCTACAAATGGATTGCCTTGTGCTTTTTCAACCAAAGGAGCAGGTGTGCTTAGCTTTTTCACATGTTTGCCACTTTACAATCTCTGGCAGAGCCGAGTGGACATTTCCGCCAGTTTCTGCCAATGAGTCCGCAGTAGGGAGATGTCGTGACTTGTGGTACGGTGATTTGGTGATTGTCTTTTGTTTCCTGTCTTCAGCATGATTTTTTTCATCTCCATAACTCTTCGAGCGAGTCGCGATTGAAATCCAAGCTGCCGTAGCGTTCCCCAAAGAATCGAATGTAACCGACCTAGGCAAGCGCACCAGAGCCAGGTCCAAACGGGCCACACTCCAATCTTGTATAACTCGTCCTGTCTCAGATTTTGAACATGTCTCTTTTGAGCAAGTCTGCAAAGACTTGCGAAATACCTGTAAAAATAAGTTTCTAAGTCCTTACTTGGCAATTACTTGGCAATCCTAGGTTCTTTTAAATTGAAATAACTTGTCTAATACAAGAGGTTGATCGGTTTGTTGATTGGTTGGTTGATGTCACACTCTTGGGCCCCCAAGCCCACAACAGCACACCACGGCGGTAGTGGCGGCTCCTGAGAATGCCACTCGCGTTCTTGTAGCCTCATGAGGAAAAAAGCAGACTCGAGAAGTTCTGAAACGGCACGAGCCGCAGAGTCACTGTTCCCGCATCTATTGGGATCGTTCGTTCGCATTCCCAAGAAGACCTGGGACGCGAACCACCTGCATAGCCCATGGAAGATCGAAAGTAGAAGTAGTTGCCAAATTGCGGAGGGCCACCCTCCAGAGGTCTATGATAAATGGATTCAACCTTGAATCCAGGTATAGTGGTGTTGCCAAGTGCCAAACCAATAGGTCCCAAATGTCCTGTCTCATGTTGAAAGCTGGATCGAATTGCCGCTAAGGTCATGTTTTGGTTCGTGAGGTCCACCATGCGGATGGCCTTGGTCGCATCTCCAATGTAAAGCCTTTGCCCTTGAGAATCCAAGGCCAGGCCATCCGGGCGGTTCAGCTGTGCTTTCAAGGCATGGCTCATGAAGGTAGAACCGTCCCCAGGACCTCCAGGATAGCCAGGCTGCCCTGCAACTAAGCCAGCTGCAGGCGAAGCCAAGGTCATATCCAAGCTAAACACAGCATGAACTCCTTGGTCTGCCACATACAAAATGCCATTTAGCTTGTCAAAAGCCAAGCCAGCGGCATGCTCGAAAAAGGCTGGCGCTGCAACTGAGAGATTGCCGGTCACCAAATCCAGCTTTCGGATTTGGTGGTTTCCCGAATCTGCTATGTACAAGACTCTCTCGAAAAGCGTTTCTGCTAGTGCCAACCCGCTCGGAGATTTTAGAGAATCCGGTCCAACGGGAGAGATGGTGGAGATGAATCCAGTTGTCAAGTCAATCCGACGCACCACATGGTTGCCCTGATCTGCAACGTAAAGCTCCTGACGACTTTCATCTAAAGCAAGTCCATTCGGGTCCCGCAGCAACACCTCTGAACCATCTGTGTAGCCTGGGACTCCCAGCTTGCCTGCCACTGTAGTCAGATTCTGGTCGCTCAAATTCAGCTGCCTGATGGCATGATTAGCCCCATCTGAGATATAGAGCCTTCAAAGCAAACGACAAAACTAAAGCTTCAAGAATCCTTAGACACCAAAACAACTCTCTTCACTGAACGAGTGCAGTCCAGCCATCTGAGGCCTTCCAAATGAGAATAAGTTAGATTAACCACACAAGCTCGGATCGATGAAAAATGAACAAAGTCCTCTGTTGCATCTCATCAAGAGCTACTGCCCGTGGCAGCCGAAAGCGCGCCAACGTGCCAGGCACTCCATCACCTGCGTCCCACTCAACGTGGTTCAACGTCATTGAGTCGGTTCTTTTGTGTTTTCGGTGTCCCTGTCGTGTCGACTTGCCCGTTTGTCTCGGCCAAAGTGCCAAAGTTGCCATAGAAACCAAGAGCTCCGGCGAGCACTGGCGCCTCGGTCCGCTCGGTCTTCCGACTGGCAATTTCACACAGCTGACAGGTTCTGTTTCGCCTCATGATTCCAGACTCCTAGCTGGCTGCAATTGGGAATGTCCACAAACTCATAAAGGCCTCAAACAAGCAGCATGCCGAGTGAAAACGGACGTGGGACCGAACATCCACACTCTCGCCATGGAACTCTCTGTGGGTTCCACCAAAGGCAGCCATGCAACAAGCAGTGGATACAAATGCATTTCGAGAACTTCGAGGGAAAGAAACTCTATGGGCTGTGTCGCATGGTTCTCACTTCTCACCTTGGCACCAGACTTGGTTCTACCTCTATAGCGACTCGGCATGTTCTGGTTTGATCAGCTTAGATTTGTGCACTATTTGGCTCAGGACCCTTGGCCCAAAGAAATGTTGCCTTCCAACAATGCTGTCTTGCAAGAGTGTCAAAACACCCAAGTAAAAGCTCTCAAATGACGTTCAGTTGGATCTTGATTGACTGTTGAACCTTCTGATCGTGATGAGTTCCGAAACACGAGAACTCTGCAAGAATTCTGTTGCTAGCTATTCTTTCTAGAATTGTCTCAGTGTGACAAGACAGAAATGGACATGCAAGTTCCTAATGATACAGAAGTGATATGGACATGGTTGCAATTTGGACAAATTGCTCCCTCTGTCGAAACTAAGTATGAGCTCAGGTAAGTGGCCAGTGCTTCAATGACAGGTCCGTTTGGGACTGGATCCGAACACTACAAATATTGGATAGTTTCACCATTTCATGTTGCATTGACGAGCTCAAACTCTATGGAAATTGAGCAAATCCTGTCAACAGAACGATTTCAAAATCACACCAACTGAACCACAAAGCAAGCAAGGGAAAGCAAATGACATCTGCACAGCAACAAGTCTTGAAAAGGTACAAAGGAAGTTCGACATTTTGGCATATGCTGAGAATGTCAAAGCAACAAAATACTGACTATATAGTTGTAGGAAAATGTGGGGTAAGTTTCCTGGAGGTATTTGACATTCTCACATCTTCTGCTTTCACTATTGTCAACTCTTCGCGTGGTCATTTTCGTGCTCAGAGTGCTGGGCTCACTCAAAGTGGCCGATACTCATGGCGCCAGCCCTCCCGACTTTCGCACCAGGGAAAAGATGCCTCAGAAAACGTGCAAAAGCTCCAAATGTCGAGATCATTTTGCGATCGAGATCAAGGAAAGCTGGAAAAAGAGACCTCGATTCCTATCTATTTCCGAAATTATGCAAAGTCAAGTCCAAGAAGTGCAACTTCGCAACTGCAAATCTTGCTTCGCAACTGCAAAGGGAAACCCTCAATCCAAGTTCTCTGCTTCAGTGAAGCAGAGATGTGCAAAGAGAAACGCGAGATGAGCCGCATCACGACCTCAAGCGCTACGACAGGTCTTTTACATCAACCTGACATGTGACTTCACCTTTAGTGAATGAGGGAATGGACTCAGATGCCTCATGTCTATCCCCATTCCCCCATAAAGCCAATAGATGTTCCTTCAATTCCTTTCATGTCTAACGTTGTTGCTGAAATGTAACAGAACGGACTCGGACTCAGCTGACTCAGAGGCTTAGTTCCGAGGAATGAACGAAGGCACCACCGAGCACGGCGCACAAAGACGTGCCAAAATCGTACCTGGTGAGATGTGACAAGTCCGAGATAACTAGTAGCTACTAGTACGCTACCTACTGGACGCAGGATAGCTCAGGCTTCTTCAAGGAAGCTCCCCCCGCCGTCCCTTAAATAAGCGCTGGCACTAATGATTTGGTTCCTAGAACTTGAGGGAAACTGGCAGCCGCCGAGTAACTATAAGTAGCTAGTAAGCTACAAAGCGATCGCTACTAAGCGATCGGGAAGCTACTAGGTACCGGATGCAGGAAAGCTTGCACTGTTCATGTGGTTCCTAGATGTTTGGGGAAACTTGCTCTGTGATCAAATTGATCCAAACCTGGAATCGTCATTCCGTCATTCCGCTAAACCCTCACAATCTGAATAGCTTACAAGCTTGTTGCAGCCGTGTCGCTCCTATTTACTCCGCCTATCTGCAGATCAACGCAGTGTTACATCTCTCTGCTTTGCAGAGATCTGCCCAAGAAACAATTCGTCTTGGAATTCTAGGAAACAAACAATCAAGAAACAAAGAAAAGGCAAGAAGACAATATCGGAAAGTCAAGCTAGAGTTGCCCTTGCTATGACATCTGCCGACAAGTGTCCAAGCTTCTCTTGGACGGTCGCAAGAGCGAAAAGATCAGGTACCTATCAATGTCCAATCCTCCCTTGTCGAATTGCTCGTCTTCCAAAAGTCACATCAACGCGTCACACTGCGGCCATTGCGAAGGGACAACTCGATTCGCCTTGGAGCTTTCAACAACCGGTTGAGTACACATGTTAGAAATCACTCCTGTTGGACTACACGAGTGTTAATTGAATTTGTGCTTCCAAGATACCCAGCACGAGTGTTAATTGAATTTGCAAGGCGGCCTCTCCGTCGAGAAGGATCCCAGTGGCTCCTTATGCACGAGTTGACTTTGAGTCGAAAGCCTTAAGAGCTTAAGTTGGTGCAAGCTTTTGACGACTTTGACCATCTTTGACCTACTCTGGCGCTCGAGTGGATTTCGTATTGAGGTGCACTTCGAACCTAAGTCCTCTGCTTGGCACAGCGCTGCAACTCAGTCTCATACCAGTCCTTAGAATCGACAAATCTTTCGAGAAATTTGTACACTGCCGAGCATCATAACGAATTTGGAATCTTGATAACACGATGTTCACTGCCGAGCATCATAGTTGACTCTTTTCGGCCCATCTTCACCTTGACTTCAGCGAGAACATCGCAATTGTGCACGGTTGTGCTGTGTCTGTTAAACACATTCTGCCAAGCTGCCCAAACTGTAGTGCACAGCTCTGAGATCTTCCTTCACCTCTACTCCAAACTCTTCAAACAAAGATTTATTTCCCTCATGAAATGGAGCTCTTTGTTGTTACCCCCCGCAAGTTAAGCTCTCAGCTTTCTCATTCATCGCGCCCTGCGCAGCCCCTTAGCGGAGAAAGCAAAACCACACTGATGAGGGTGCAAAGCAAGCCGTGCTAACGGTGAAGTGAGCTGTATCACCCAACTTCATATCACAATGACAAGGTACTGCAATCGTTAAAAGTTCGTGCGTCTTTGACATTTGGTTTGGGAGTCTCTTGCCATTGAGGCTCAGGCTCTGCTCAGCAGGGGTAAACTTCCTGAAAGCGCCTCGCTCTCGCTCTCTGTAGCACACCACACATCCAAGAGAGAAAACAAATGTAAAACAAGATCAAAGGAAACCACGAGTTGCCGAATTTATCGATTGGATCATTTCGATCCCTTATGTGCTGAGAAAGCAACTGCTGGTGGATTTGAAACTTGGCTCAAAGAAGCTCAGCTTCACCTGTGTTTTCAGTGTGCGTTTCTTCAATTTGAAGTTGCATTGAACGCGCTTTTTGCGGAAAAGGTTTCTACACAATCAATACTTTTCCGCAAGGTTCGCCTTCGTTCCTGAGTCTCCGTACGGAACTACCTCGCAAAGCCTTCACGAGCGGCCCTCGTTCCTTGCTGTCCTGATCGCGATGTGTCAAGAGCAAGGAGCCCAAGAACAGGGCAGAAAGGAGTGATTTAGAAGACAAACTTCTTCCAAGTACAGGATTATTGGATCGCTATCTTGTGACAAGACCTTTTGACAACACGGAACATGTCTCAATGAAAGTGTTTGGGTCGGCTTGAGACTTTGGAAGATCCAAGGCGTCTTGTCAAGGCACCAGCGCTGCCCAGGAGTCTGTGAGACCTGCAGGCATTCATCAACACGAACACCAAAGGACTCAAGATGCCTCAAGTTACAAAGTGTTTGGGAGTTCTGGTTGCAGTTACTCCGTTTAGACGGCATGAGTTGGTGAAGCAGCTTCACTTCGGTGTGGCCTGGCATCCTAGAAAAGCTGGACTGGCTAATGGTAACGGAGTAGTCACGAAGGGCTGCTTCTGAGTGACCTAGGGCAAAGAACGTTTGGTGTATACGTTGAGTATCGACTGAAATAATTGTCTTGCTTCAGTCTTCTAAGTATCATACTTCGGAGACTGAAGCATTGGCCGATGTCAGTCGCAGTTGTGCCTTTGTGGCGGCAAAGGTCTATTTGGCCCAATGCGCAACACAGTGCTCTCCAGGTGCTGAACAAGCGATCCCTTTCTGCAATTCGGCAGGTTTCCAAGACGGCAAGTTTCTGTCAGTATGACCTTCGCTAGCTTGTACCTGACCTGGAGAGTCTGTGTATGTTTACATCATGCTTACTTTTGCATCGGCTTGCTAGATTTTTTGTCCTGGATGCTTTGTCGCCAAACAAGTATGTGACGTGGGATGTTCAGAAAGGGCTCTTTTGTCGGGTGAATATATACGTAGATAGATAGAGAGACAGAGAGAGAGAGAGAGCGTATATACTGTAGTATATATGCTATCCCCCTGTCCGCAACTTAAATTTGAGATCTCTGTATGCAAACGGCTGGGCAGACAACTGGAGATTTGTACCACCTCCATGATCGTTTTAATTTTGGCTTCATTTCTTCTCGCTTCCTACCTTATTTTTTTCTTTTTGTCTGCTTCCTGATGTTGTCTCCAACCTCTCTTCTCCTGCCTCCAGCCCTTCCCTTCCGCTCTACATTTCGGTCCACCCCCTTCTTTCTTCTGTCTAATGTCCTGTCCGGGATCGCCTTTCCTCTAACCCTAGAGTTGGAGCATCCACAACCAATGGACGCGACAAGGTCAACAGCGCAATCCTGGTCCACTTTTCTCATCCCTTCTCTCTGAGTTCAACCCTTCCTTCTCTCTTGCCATCCGCCATCCTGTCTCATTTTCGAAATGTGTCCTGGTTTGCCTCCCGTCAGTTAGTCATTTTTGAGTCTGTGGCCCATGTTACAAGACGCCCCTAAAATGCAGCAACATATGTTTGCATCGCCTGTGTAGCGCCAGGAAGAGCTCTTCAAGCTATCTGAGCAACACTCTGGGAGTCCCCACGAAGCTCCATGATCCAATTGTTGCGGGAATTTGTGGAATCTATGTGTTAATTACTAATAATTGTCTCTCTTGCCAACTTTTGACCTACGCACTTTGGATCTCTTCTCATGGAATATCACGCTGTTGAGCCTAAGAAAGGTACAAGAACACCACGCATCAAACATCCGTCTTGCCCCTTGCATTACTCGAACAACTGATGGCGCACCACCGCTTATCATCTCTCCGTACGTAGATCGAAAACCTGTGGAAGGAGCGCTCAAAGTGCAAACAGCGAATCCAAAAAGCCGTTTCTTTCGCCGAGGTACGGCTCGATATCGTAATGGAATTGCGCCTCAAAGGGCTGGGCTTCATAACGCGTGAAAGTCTCACTGAACGTTCATTGCACAGATTCTTCCGAACGATCTGCCTGCGGAATCTCTGCTTCCGGAAGTTGCGAAACACGTGCCTTGCGATAGCAAAAGCTCTAAAGCATCGAAAAGGTGCTGAGCCACCTGGTGCTGGAACTGGTATGTAGTCTGGCTGCCAGACACAGTGCTTACAACCTGTCCACAAAACGGAGGACACATGATGTATATCAAGCTTCGGATGAGGAAAAGGTTCAAGCCTAAAGAGACTGCTGAATCTGCATGAATCTGCCAACAAGTCTAATCCTTATCCTTATCCTGCCTTCAAGTCGTGGATGTACGCTTGGTGGAAACTAGAAGTCCTTTGCCCAGTGATTCGTTGGCATGGACTCTAGTGTTCATTGGCACTTGCTGCCTCACTCGAGGGTCTGACAAAAACCGTTGACCATCCAAGGGTGCCAGATTCCGTGTAACCTGGCACCAATGAGTGCAGCAGGAATCATTTGAACCTATATTTGGGTATCTTTGAGCAGAATGGACTTGACTTGCCTCCCTGGGAAAGTTTGACCACCCCTGGCAGGTCCAGATTTGCTTAGGCCTTGTCAAGTGCGCTTCGCCTTGCCTTCCGATGAAACTTGCCATCATTGGCATCGGAGAAGGAGAGGTGCTTGATCGTGTGAGACACATTGGTCATCCTGTGAGACTCTGAGACCGACAGCGTGCGATGCGCAGCCCACAGGGCCCACATCAAACCCAAACCCAAAGTCTCCCACCTTGGATTAAGTGTCTGGTCTCCACCCCCAGCCATGAGCTCCAAATGGCCTGGCACCCGTGGCACCTAGCAACAATTCTGCAAGTTGGACAAAACTACTTCAAAGGAAAATTGGCAGAATGAAAAAGTTGCACAAATGTTTTCCAAAATTTCTGGCCAAAAGCAAAACCGTTGCAAAATCTACCGCGCCTGCAAACGGCCCCGGGCATTGCAGCCACGCTCAAAGACCTCACTCAATAAACACAAAAACTCTTGGACCGAGCTCGTGCGACCGAAAACGATCCAATTTCGTGGCAGGAAACCCCGCGCTCAAGGTGCTGAGGGACGTGATATTGTTGGTGCACGTTCATCGTTTTATAGTTTTAGCTGCGGAAACATGTTCGTTTGGCAAGGACAAGCACACCCTGCGTCATGAGGTGCATCTGGAACACAAGTGGGGGTAGGAGAAAACATAGAAACACGCGCATGGGTTTCACATATCATCTATGCCTGGCTATATTTTTTAACTATCGTATCATTTGCATCACCACGTCCTGAAAAGCAAACAAAAGACCCCTCTCAACAATCCATGTTTTAGCCTAGGGACTGAAAACCGGACCGACTTTTCTGACATTTTTGGACTCCACGACGCTTGGTCATGTCATCGCATGGTGTTGGGGGGGCGGGGGGCTGGGGTGAGGGTCAAATTCCCCGCAGTGGAGCGTGTAATGCATAGTATCCCTGGATTCAACTCACAGTCCAACAAGGTTCACAAGAGCGAGTGGGCGAAGGCGATCGAGCCGCTGTTTTCACACGCACATACCTTGAGCCAAATGTTCTGGCATGTCAATGCATTGCGTAAGAGCATATCGCAAGATACTGTAACCAAGTTGAAGCAATAGCGTAAATGGGTGCCCAAAAACAGAAAACATGAGGGGGGTGCTGTAATTGCGTTCTTGTTTTCACATACGTCTCATGAGCATGAAGGCTCAAGACGTAGCCACGGTGTGTGCTTTAGTTTTGTTGTTTCGGTTGTCGGGTGTTCCTTGTCCTCCTCGTTTTTGTGTTTTCTTCCTTTGTGGTGCGTCAGCCCTTTTTCTTTAGAACAGTACGTAGACGGCTTAACTCATGATTGTTCTGACCCTTGAGTTGCTTTTGTTCACGAAACAGGTTTGGGTTCAGATCGTGGCTGGGTAAACTGGGAGCAGGTGTTAGAAACTCGTTTTTCGTTGTTCACACTTTGGTGCAATGTGTGGTTGAGGTTTTCTTTTTCGAAAAACATAAACTAAGTCCTTTTCTGTTGGTGACTGTTGGTGTTGAGTTGGCGTTTGTTGCGTAGTTGTAGCGGCTCCATGTCGGATGGGTGCGCCGCCGCTGATTTGCTCGACAATGGCATCGATGAAAAAGACTTGCACACGGAGCCTGACTGGGGACAGCTAGATACACAAAAAGCAGGCAACTTGAGGTGTCGCGAAAAAGACATTTTTTATTTAGGCAAAACGCATGACAAAGCACTGCGTTTACCAATGAATTTGACATGAGAACAGGCAAAAAAGGGTACGGTTTCCGATCTGTACGGATGTTTTACTATATTTCTCATGAATGCATCGTATGCATCGGTTGGTTGCAATCGTGCTGCCTATTCTAGCAGCATATCCGTCAGCTGGTTGCAAGGGCATAGTTTTTTGCACAAGATGTTTGCAAACTAGTATATTTTGGGATCCCTGAAAAATGTACAATCTCAAGCGGGTCAAAAAATACATCTAACAGTGCTTGCCATTTGGGAGTAAAACAATTTTTTTTTAGAAGGAGGTCGAAAAGTAGACTGGTCATAGATACTTCTTATATTTTATTCATCCACATCATGCTGCCATCATGCACATTGCAAAGATTGTTGTACGTAATCACTCTATTTCTGTCCCCTTGAGACTGCGCAAGTTTCTGGGCATTGGCAAATTGGATTCACCAATCCTTCCAACTGGTGGGCGGCTGTTGTCGCGAAGCGACCTGAATAGGATACCATGCTCAGCTTTCGAGACGGGTCCTCTCACCAGACGGGCGCCCGGACACCTGGGCACATTCACCTCGACGGACACCCGGGCACCCCCACTCCATGAGCACAGGGGCGCGCACGGTGTTGCCATGATGATGATGAGGATGATGTTGATGGTGATGATGGTGATGATGATGATAAGGGCCCCGAGTGCTCAAATGCGTTTTCGTTAAACGGGCCACCCTGCGCGGGATGACTTGGTGGTGTTTGACTGCTGCTCAACTAGGAGTTCATCCCATTCCTTTGACAGAACGGCCCTTGGACATTGACAACTTGACAACCCCTCGCAAGCAGACACAATCTATGGCTATGGGCTGGCGGTGCAGCCAGGTCCTGAACAAGTCCCACTTGACCAAACTCAGCTGGCCAATGTGCCAGGAAAGGAAGGTCCTTTGGGCTTGCCTGAAATTCGAGGGTTTCGCGCCCGCACGGTGGTAAGTGGAGGACACGGGCTGGTCCTACTCAGGCGCTGGCTAGGCGCTGAGTTCGCCTACAAACGTTCACGCGGGAGGCACCTACGTGGAGGGTTGTTGGCAATGGAATGGCTCAAACTTTGCGCAGTGGACTCCGTTCTCCATTGGATGGACGATTCCTTTGGACAGCCACGCGTTACACGCGCAACTATACAATGGACATCTTGAGCGTTTACCAGCACCCCCGCAACCAGAGTGACCCCACTTCTATCCACAACCGAACTAGTGCTTGGGACCGTAAGAGTGTTCTTCGTAGACTAACTCGACGATATCGTTGGTTGATTGGTGGGGGCTTCAACACGGGCGTACGACACCAGTCGAATCAGGTCGGTTTCAATGACTTTGCAACTTCCAATGAGACCAACCAGTTTTTCAAGCTCTTCTTCGGGATCTTTCCGCGATGGTCACTTTACCTGGCAACAAACCTTGGGGGATACATATCATGGACCCAAACAAGCTGCTTCTCGTATTGATTTTGTTCTGGTACAAACACGAGATGGGAACGCCGCTGCCTCCAAGACGGTGAAGAAGTTCCTATGATGGTGGGTATGCAACGTGATCACGCTCCTCTGCTTTGTGGCCTACTTTGGCCGATACTATTCTCCAAAGCCAACCACTGGCCTCACAAGAACACAACGTATGACTCTGCAGTGTCACTGGGAAAATAGCACCATCGATGGCAATGCATGGAGCGCCTGGATCCTCAGCAACCTGATGCACAAGGTTGGTGAAGGCCTTGTGCAGCTTGGTCAAAAAGACAATCCACCCACTTTTACATTCAGCTGGAAGGTGTCCAGGACCAAACCATTGTTGGCACCATCCTGCCAAGAGAGGGTTGAGTTCATGGGCAACTGCCTTCCACAAAAATCTTGGCGCAATGTGCTGTGAGATTGCCTTGTGCGAAGTGAGATGAGCCAACTCGTATTCAATTGTTCGGGATTCACTGGAGAGGAACAAAACGAGAGCGAAGGAAAAGCTTCATCTTGTCCCTGATAAAGTGCCTCCACATATTGACTCAAAAGTTCCATTTCTTCAGTGTTGGAAGGCGAGGGCGTTTGGCCCTGAAGCCCACGAAGCTGAGGCCGACGAGTGTAAACTTTTGGAGTCAGCTTTTGAACTGATTGATAGTATTGATGCGTTTGGTTTCCAGCCCCAAATTGTCAAGCAGTGTCTAAAATCTGTTGAACTCTGTTTCGTCGATGTGGAAGCGCTGCTCGCGAGGTAGCGCAGGCAGCCCAGAGGTTGGTCGTCCAAGACTGCTTCGTAGTCCCGTTCCTGAGTGGAGGCCGGGGCACTTAGAATTGTTAAGAAGACGCCACTGTCCAAATGCATCACGTCCAATATGCGCTGGCACACTGGAACCGCTTGCCCCAAGACGCATATCTCCCAAGACATGGAACATGCGATGCAGTGACTGCATCCACGATCATCATATTCCAGATTCAACTCCTGCTCCAACTTCGTAGTTGCAGGTGATCATTCCTTTTTTGACGCGCAATTCTCCATTCCTGCATGCGCATGGCCTGGAGTGCCCAATCTGCGCTCTGCGGCACCGTTTCCATCTTGACAAGTGGCAGGAGAAGCAATGTCATATGCAACCTGATGACATTCATCAAACCAGAGTTCTACAACAATCGATTGAACTCATCGACCAATGATGGCAGGACTCCATGGCCGCAGATGATGCTGAGGATGCTCAAGAGCTAGCCCAGGCAGGACTGGACTGTGACTACTGTGCGCTTTCCTTTCGACGTCATCACACGCTGGGCAGGCATCTCATACATGTCCATGGCATTGCAGTGCAGGGCCCTTCTCGAGGTCGGATGTTCAATCCAAGCAAAGCATGTTACATGAATGCGGCCAGCGCAGCACCAATCAAAGGTCCTACCAGAGATCTTCAAGCACATCGCAAACAATGTTGACGGGACACCTGTCTTCGCTGGACCATCTCTCTCCCTGATGACATCTGGGATAGACCGTTTGAAAAGCACGACGCCTCTGCGCCTGTCGGCCTTCTTTATAGTGGGATGCGGAGCATTGATGAACACATGTGCCCTTGCTTTCCACCGATTTTTGAAGCGTATGCAGCTAGACCAGGCCAAAGAAACCACAGCCCTACTGGCTCTGCAGCTCGCCCAATCCTTCGTGACCACACGAGGTGAGAAGCGCCGACCTGACATATGTTCAAGAGGGTCAACGGTACCTCTCTGAGACAAGGGCCTGTGAAAGAACGGTGACGATGATGATGATGATGATAATGACGATGATGATGTAGCATCGCTACGGTCGCGTGGACGCACGATGTTGATGATCATTTGGCAATGCGCCGTGGTTCACAAGCTCAGGGCTTGGTGCACGTTTCTTGCCTCCGCCCGGGCACCTGGGCACAGGCCGTGGCCCAGGCAAGTCTCCTGAGAAAACCCTACTCCAGATTTCGTGACGCAAGAGCGGGCTGGGAAGAGCGCAGCGCCTAACGCACCAAGTGAACAGCGCTGAAAATGTTGCACAGGTGCAAACGCCAAGGGATGGGAAGGTACTGTGGTTCTGAACGGTGCACCTAAAGATGTACCATTGCACCGCCCCAACACAGATTGGCAACCAATAAACCCATTCCGGTCAGCCACATGTTCACTGCTGGTGAAGCTATGCGCATTCTATAACTTTTGGTGAGGCAGTATGATTTCGTCTCAGGAAAAATTACACCGCCGTAGACCCCAAACAGTTTGTGTTTTTCAGCATCGGAACACTCTGCAACTAGAGCTTGCGACGTCCAGAGCCACAGCAGTCCAGAGCTGGGAGACAATTCCAGACACAGGGAGACACATGTAAAGGATTGCAAGCGACATGCAGCCCAGAGCTGGATGACAAATAAAGGATTGCAAGGCAGAGGCGGACACAACACTCAGAGCTGGGAGACAAATGTAAAGGATTGCAGGGCAAAGCAGCTGGGAGACGAATGTGCAGGGTTGCAAACGAGAGGAGGCACACGTAAAGAAAAGAAGGAAGACAAGGCGGACACAGTGACCAACAAGAAGGGGGACAACAACGGAGACAAGAAGAAGGGAGACAAGACGGACACAATGACCTACAAGACCGGAGACAAAGGGAGACAAGAAGGGAGACAGGCAGACACAATGACCAACAAGAAGGGAGACAAAAGGAAACAGAAGGGAGACAAGACAGACGCAATCACAAGAAGGGAAACAAGACCGGAGACAAAGAAAGACTGAAGGGAGACAAGGCCAACAAGAAGGGAGACCAAGGGAGACAAGCCGGACGGGAGGCGGACACGCTGTCCAGCAGCAAGGCGGAGACTCTTAGAAAGCATTTAGAACCCCAAACAGTAACCTGTTTGGGGAAGCACAGAAATCACCTGCGAGACAAATGAAGATAGAAATGCAGGAAAGAAGAAAAGGGAGAGTTCCTCACTTTGCGTCCGAAACAAATCATCCCCTTCCACCGACCCGGGTGACCCCCCTCCGGTGAGGCATCACACACCCCCCTCGAGACTTCTTCTCTTAAGGTCACCACCCCCCCCTCCTTCACCAACCAACCAAATTATCATGTTCTTCGCGGCAAGCATTTGTTTTATTTGGAGCTAATGTCTGCTGGGGGGGGGGGCTCCACGAAATCTGCACATCATCTCCAATACCCGCGCCTGCCACGAAATCAACATTTTAAGGTGAACTCACTGCGGCAAAAAGCATTCCAACCAAACAACCAAAGCAACGAGCCAGCCAGCAGCAACCAACCAACCGAACACGCCGCAACCAATGGTCACCTTCCCCTCCCTGGTCGCAAGGGGGTGGGGTCACCCTCCCCCTTTTCAAGGGTGGTCACCCCCCCCCCCTCTGTTTAGTCGCAAGGGGGGGGAGGTGGTCACCCTCCCCCCGATGCCAGCAGTGCAGGCACCGAACCTGGAAAACAAGAGTCAACAAACCACATGGGAAACAAATGAATAGAAATGCTGCATGGCCGGCGGAAATGGGCGGACACCAGCAGTGCAGGCACCGAACCTAGGAGACAAAAGTAAAGAAATCAGTGTAAAGACAAACGAATTGAAATGCTGCATGGCCAGCGGAAATGGGCGGACACCAGCAGTGACAGAAAGGGCGGACACATCTTAAGAAAGCATTGAGAAACCCTACGCAACAGCAAACTGTTTGGGGAATGATTAGAAATGTTGCATCGCCAACTGAAAAGGGCGGACACCAGCAGCGACAGACCTGGGAGACAAATGAATAGAAATGCTACATGGGCCAGCGGAAAAGGGCGGACACCAGCAGTGACAGACCTGGGAGACAAATGAATAGAAATGCTACATGGCCAGGGGCGGACACCACCAGTGACAGACCTGGGAGACAAATGAATAGACATGCTACATGGCCAACGGAAAAGGGAGGACACCAACAGCGACAGACCTGGGAGACAAATGCATAGAAACGCTACATGGCCAGCGGAAAAGGGCGGACGCCACCAGTGACAGACCTGGGAGACAAATGAATAGAAATGCTACATGGCCAGCGGAAAAGGGCGGACACCAGCAGCGACAGACCTGGGAGATTTCTACATGGCCAGCGGAAAAGGGCGGACACGAGCAGTGACACAAAGGGCGGACACATCTTAAGAAAGAATTGAGAACCCCTAGCAGTGAACTGTTTGGGGAACAAGTGTTACACAAGAGTTCCACGCAAGAGCAACACAGGAGATTGTCCAGCAAGAGTGTACAAGAGTTACAAGGGTGTTCTTCAAGAGTGATAGACAAAAGTCGTGTCTCGCAAATCTCTGAGCAATGTATGATTGAAGTGTTGTTCATTCAGGTTCGTGGATTCATAAGGTTCCTCTTGTGTTCGGACGTCGCGTAGTTTTCCGCATGTCAACTGACAGAGGTCCAAAAACACATCAATATCTCAGTATCTCCATCAACACATGGCTCTTGCGATCAAGAACAACCGACAGCAAGTTCAACAGCTCTTGGAACTCTCTGGCTCTGCTGTTAAGATGGGGCACCTCATGGTGAGCTCCCCATCCATAACTCTTCATTTTGATCATCCTGGAGCGACACAGTCGCTTTTGGGCAAACCTAAGGACCTGCGGTCTGCCGTCTGCCGTCTGTCTTGTCCTCTCCAACCATCGAATGATTTCCACCTAAAACATCAACATGCCACGCAGCAAATGAACTCTTGAAGACTTCTTCGATGCCTCCCCTCGGCGGCCATCAAAAACTGAGAAAGTGCCATCTGCCTGAAACAATGCTCCTAGCTGAGTGAACCACAAAACAGTAATGAACTGCAAGTCATAGGCTTCGTGTCTTTTACAAATGCCAACAACGACGTTGACATCAATTTGTAACAGAAAGGCTCGCGGATTGGTTTGAAAGTAAGGAGACATTGAAATAATTAAAAATGCATTGTTGTATTGTTCTTTATAAGGCTCAATTTGATAACAGCAAAAACCACAACAACACCAACAACAGCAGCAGCAGGAGGAGTAGCAGCAGCAGCAGTAGCAGTAGCAGTAGGATTAGTAGTAGTAGTAGTAGTAGTAGAAGTAGTAGTAGTAGTAGGTGTAGGTGTAGGTGTAAGTGTGAATGTTTAAGCAAATGTTGATTGAATCAAATAACATCAAACGTGAGTTATCAATCGATTGTCATGGAAACGTGAACCATCTAGCTAAAACAAAACATTTCTCTTGTACCTTATCTAAAATACCTGGTTTATCATTGGGAATGGAAATATGGCTATTCACGGTGAACTTGACTGAACAATACAATTAAGTATACAAATGGATAAAGAGCGTAAAATAAATATACTTAGACTGTATAGAAGAAAAATGATGAAAGGACGAAAAGAAAATACCATAAGAAATTTCAAGATCCGCACCTTGTAGAGACGCACTGTGGGGTAAGCATCGATGCCCTGGGGCGCGCAAACGTCGTGGAAGTCCACGCAGTTAACCCTGGGCACAAAAAAGAAACCCCAGTCGACTCACAAAGAAAACCGAGTTTGCAAAGCGTCTATGCAAAGCTTGCTGGTCTATTTCGTTGGTCTTAGAGCGCATGCTTGCCCAGCAATGCTTGTGAAAAAGTCTATCCAAGATACAGGACAACTCACTTACGGGGACAATCCGTGGGCCACATAGCTTTCAAGTACTGATCGGCTTTGTACAGAGCCGCAGCATAAATTGTTCAAAACAAGAGACACTGTCATTGTGGGAGAGCAAGCTACCCGTGGGTTTTCCCCGTTCTGGAAAGAAGAGCTGTTAGTAATACTGTGATGTCTGATCTCGCACCACAATCTTGAGGGGAAAGAAGCAAGCCGGCGCAGAAAACAAGAGAAAGGACACAGAAAGAACGAACCAGGATCGGCAAGAGCAACTGTTTCGTGCAGGTCAAGAATGGCGAGATATCTTGAGCACACAAGAAAAAGAGAAGCTGTGACAAATGCAGCTGGTCTGAGACGGTGGCACTTGCAGAGACAAAGAAATGGGAAAGACAATTAAACGGAAAAAATAGACTGCCACTGAAACGAAATATTTGCAAGAAGCAAGACAGAACCAAGAACAGTGCAGCGCTCAGTGCCAATATCCAAAATGAACATCTCGAATGTCAAAGACCCCAAAAAGTCCGAACCAAACTGGAAAACAAAAATATGATCAAGAGATGTCACGACAGGAAACTACGCTGGGCTTCCATGCTTGATGAGTCGGACCTGCCGCTCAACACCATCACGATCAGGGAACTTCATCGGAGCCCCATCTTTGCCATGCACCTGGACAACTCACCGCGAGCATCGTTTCAAACCCTCGACCATCGTCACTTCATTCCGCACCTTGTCAGCAAGCTTCTCCCATTCTGGAGCAAACTTCTGGCAGTGGCTGCACCTTTGAGAGCAAAGGGCTGCACTTCAGCACCACACTATTAGTGCACCTTGCACCGCCACAAAAACCGAAATCAAGTTGCGATTCCTCGAGCTCTGAAGCTGGGGCCAACCAGCAAAGAAGTTGATGCAGGTGAAGTCGTGGCCCTCACAGCACTTCACAGCACGAAACATTGCGAAACCTTATTCGTTACAATCATGCTTGCCTATTCCCATATCGATTTTCATTCTGCTTGCCAAATCACCAAATCAGTCCGACCTGGATGACATGCTCCAAGCTCTTGTGCCGAAAGCCATCGTGGGAGGATGACCAATCAGAATCGAGCTCCTTCGTGTAAGTCCGTAGGTCTGTGTCTTGTCGTCGAGAAGATGTCATCATCAAATCGACACAATTCGTTGAAAACATGCTCTCCTGGCCACCATCCTGCTTGCGAACATCTTGCCTTAGCCGTGAAAATGCCTCCAAGCGAAGCTCCACTTTGATCCGATAAAAATGGTGTGACTGATATGCACGCAATCTGAGGTCATTTGTCGCCTTCCGTCCCGAATACGTGCCCCAGGGCACAGGCATCTGCTTGTCATGATCCTCCGCTACTTCTCCTTGGGCATCCTGCAACTCACAGATTGAAGCATACAAATCATCTTCTGCAAAGAGTTCCAAGAAGCATCATGATCTATGAAGGTTTCGGTTCCAGCTGTGTCCAAAGTCCAAGTCCCTCTCGCTCACTTATCTCACTTCTCCTGTGGCTTCACCGCCACACCAAACTGCTTGCCCTGCGCATCAATCGATCGGAGCCAGAAGTCCTCACCTGACGAGCCTCAACGACTGCCAAAAGCATCTGCTCAAAGAAAGCAAACAAAATCAGACTCTGTTTTCACAGGTGCAACAGGTTTTCTGTCTTCGGTTAAAAGGCCTGATTTTAAAGACCAGTTCGAGTCAGTTGCTTGATGTTGCTTGTGATTTGTGCTCGTTCTACGTTTTTCGAAGACTTGAGCTCAGAAGTGCACTTAGTCGTTCTTTGCCATTTTGTGCCTAAGTCTTGATGAAGAACCAATTTGAGTCATGGCAATTTGCAAGAGATTAAACTAAACTGAATTAAACAATCTCTCCGAGAAGCTTACAGTGTCTCCCTCAGACTGCTGCATAAACGACAACTTGCAAGTTTCTGCATTCAATGTCGTGGACGTCGACATCAAAGTTGATCCTGTGCGATGAAAGCGTCACGGACCCAACTCCCTTACATTGCGCAGTTGCGGACAATCTGGGCGACCGCGCTGCAGGGAGTCACTTCCGGCTTTGTCCAGGGCCAACACCGTGGCATATTGCGGGCTCTGGCGCAAACATGTTCGACAAATCAAATGCCGTCATTCCAACAAATGTAAAGTTGGATAAACATCTAAGCACATCTTTCCTCCTGTATCTCTACCTGCATACCCCAGTTTCCAAACCACTCCAATCTAGTCCAAGAACGTACCCGCATCTCCTACAATCCTCGCAGGAGCACAGCGCGAGAACATTTGAAACATGCTTACCCCAAGGCTCCCAGCTGCAAACGATATCAGCTCACACATGAAAACAATGAGCATCACAGCGTACCTGATCAAGCAAAACAACACACATTCGGTTCGGGGTTTGAATGCAAGCGCCAAATGTTCTTAGGAAAAAAAAATCTTGACCACACAAAAAAATGGTAAAACAATGGCCTGCCTATGGCAATTATTGCGGCAATTTGTGTGTTTCGGCCACTCTAGGGCACGCAACGATGGTGAACACACCACCCAGCTGTGAAGCCTGAACGGGGTTGGGGATGCCTTGATGGATTGGATACAGTTTTTGTGCAAAATTCAACAAAAGAAAACTGGTGTTGACGCTGAAATGTGACCAGCCATTCATTGCAAGGAACATTGGAACAACAACAAAAACTGGTGTTTCTCCAAGGGGTTGCGATTGAAATTGGCAAACAGCTGCATGTACAAAACCTTGCCTCGACAAAGTCCCGCGGCAGCCATCGGGCTGCTTGCGAAGAGGTCAGCATCCGCTCCCTGCTTCAACGGTGCTCTAAATCGCCACCCACTTTCTATTTGGGTGTCGGATGTGGCGATTTGCACAACAACAACAACAAGGATTGTTTTCTGAGCCTTCATGGTCTTCAATACTTTGTGCAAAAGGGCAAGCAACGGAATGCATGCGGTTTGCACAACCTTTAGCAACACAGCTACAGCAGAGCGACCAAAATGATATAGCAGCTTACATATTATCTCCCAAGCATTTGACTGCAAGGCCAGTTTGTTGCAGAAACCAACAAAAAAATGCAAAATGATTTTAATTCACTAGAAGGCTACAGAGATCCAACACAAAGCAAACTGAGTAAGTTCAGTTCATCCTTTTTCACCTTGAGTGAACAATGAGGTGAATTCGCGCCATCGTTTGGATGGGCTTCACGACTTGAACAAAATGCCCAGCTCATAGCTTGACATATGCCATCGTTTGGATGGGCTTTGCAACACGAACAGAATGCCAAGTTCATACCTTGACACACCCAAGCGAATACACCCATCGGTTGGATGGGCTGTACGGCTTGAACAAAGTGCCAAACTCACGGTCTGAACCACAAGGGGAGGGAAGTGAGTTTCGAGCGGGGGGGCAACTTGGATTGCAAACCAAATCATGGCAAAGTCACGCCCTACCCACCCAACCCTGGAGCCAAATGTAACCATTACAAGTGCATCTAAGACCTCTCCACCTCCAGTTGGATACGTGTCTTAATTCACCAGAAGGTTACAGAGTGCCAAGACAAGTCAAATAGAGTAAGTTCAGCTCATTCTTTTTCACCTTGAGTGAACAACGCGGTGAATTCGTGCCATCGTTTAGATGGGCTTCACGACTTGAATTTGAACAGGGTGCCCAGCTCATAGCTTGACATATGCCATCGTTTGGATGGGCTTTGCGACACGAACAAAATGCCAAGCTCACAGCTTGACACACCCAAAAGCACCAACGTCTTGTAGGTTCAACGAATACACCCCTCGTCACTAGTTGAACCCTAATATAACGTCGGCGCATTCTTCACAAAGGTCACGAGGCTTCTGGATCCCAGCAGGGGGTGTGTCTATACTCACCCCTGGATGGCAAGTCAGCCAAGTTTGAAGCTGTGGTTACTCTTTCAAACCATGTTCGAGCGCGAAGAACATTTTCAAGTTAAAAGAAGCAAGATTAACGATTAACTCACCAACTTTATGTGAACGTTTGCTTGCAATCAGGCTTCCAAAAGCCCCCTCATTGTCTGTGAAGAGAACGAGCGGGTTGTTCATGGTCTCATCTCTCCAACACTGGAGAGCCACAAAAACAACAAACAATTCAAGTTCAATAATTGGTAGTTGCGTTGCGTGTTTGGCTTAGAGAGTTTTTCCAATGCTCGGCAGCAACTTCGATCATTGCACACTTACCAATCATGAAGCCATCATCAAACAACACACGACCTTGCGTCTGTGTAGAAGTGGCGACGCTTGCGCGACATGCGAGACATGGACTTTGGCTCTCACGGTGGATGAAGGAGTGTGACAACACGGAAGCGCAAGCGTCCCCTTTTTAGATCCGCTCTTGAGCCAAACATCACAGTCGGTTTGATTGTATCGAAATTTTTCAACTCTTCTTCTGAAGAGGTCTGACTGGTCGCAGTCGTCCAAACCATGTTAAAAGAACAAGAAAGCAACTCCAAACGCTCTCAAGCTATTCCATACTATACGCAACTCTACACAGCTCTAGCCAGGGCTTCTCTAAAGGTGTTCCTAGCCACTCTTGGTCACATTCCACCTTGTCCTGCTAAGGAGGTCAAAGAGAACACACTCCAAAAAGGAAGATCCCTACTCAGCTCCAACCCCAAGGACAGAAAAACGAAAACTTTCACTACAGACAGGTACTAGGTGATCCACACACTGTACAGGGGTGCTACCCACACTTTTCACACCCCTTCTTGGGCCACCTCGTACCTTCTTCTGGTTCCTCCTGTCTTCTTCTTTTCTTCTATTCGTTTTCTCTGAGCAACTAAGGTTCAAGCATCAACTAAGATCTCAACTCCTGTCCTCCAAGATGGTCTTTAGGTCGATCAAACGTCAACAACTCCCAGACGACAAGCTACAAGCAAGTCCCAAAACTCAATCAACCAAGGTCAAACACGCAAGACAACAAGCTCAACAGCCAAAGGTCCCTCGGAGAGCAAGTCTTCTGGAATCTCACAGTGATGATTCCTATCACTTGCTTTCCTCATCCTTGGGATCTTGAAGGCTCAACGCTTTCAAGATGGTACCTGACAGGTCGAAACGACATACGAGTCACGTGAAGGTTCCTATCAGGACAAAAGTGCGCAAGAGCTCGACTCGACAGCAAGGGGAACAGAAAAGAAATCTAGCCAACCCTCTAATTACCAACCCTTTTACTGTTCACACTCCACTCCTCTTAGATAAACCCTGTTGGTTACAGGCGACTGCAATCCAGATCTTAGATAAACCCTTGTAGACAGCATCAACTCTCAAGTACAGGTACTCTTCGCACAAATCTTTAGTTACAACCCTTGCTCTCGCAGATTCCCAGTCTCTCGCCTTATCCACTGGTCTCCTTGCAAGACAAAAGGAAATGAACAGAATCTCAAAGATCCCTCTAAAAGTACACATCTCTTGACTCACACAAGATGAAAACTGTCACAATCTCAATCTTCAACAAAACAAGAAATCACTGCTGAAGCCACAAAAGGATACAACCCTGGAAAACTACAAGAGACTCTAATGACTCTCGCACAGTCTCCCTCTTTTGCCAAGCTGGGCGCAAATCCAATTTTTTTTTGCACGAGTTCGGACGCCATGTGTGCGGTGTGCACAGGTCATCAAGATAAGGATGGAAACTCTGCATGTTTGTGAGGGAAACAGCCCAAAGCACAACAAAAGCAACCAAAACAAACCCCCAAAACAGAACCAAAACGAACAACCCCCAAACCAAACTAGCAGAGTTTCGCGCTGTACTCAAAAGTGAAACAAGTGAAACTTGAAAGAATGTCCGTCTGACTAATCGGGCCTTGAAATCTCGAAATCTGCCAGTCATCTGCTGTTCTTACGTCCAACGCGATGGGGTATTGGCATACTGCAAACCATGAAGGCCACGTCCCAGTGGCCTTCAGGAGTGGTCAGGGGACAATTCTGCCCCTGCCAGGTTGGGCGGTAAGCACTCTAGCCAATTTCGAATGGTTGACAGCGTTTGCTGGCGCTTACTGGCTGCAGCCGTCCTGATCTTTGTCGATTGCAATGCTGTTCAGGCCTTGGAAAACAGCCTGCATCAGGGCACAACTATTACACACAGTTGCACAAACTGAGGCGACTGCGGCCGGCAGTGGGCAATTGCCGTGGACATTGCACGCGAATGCTGCAGGCTGCACCCTGCAGACCTACCGCAGCAGCTGAGGGAGGGGACGCACACCCATCCAGCAGGCTCCTTAACAACCTTGGCCAGAGGAGCGTGGAAGGTGTGCGAGTGCGCAAAATAGGATGGATAGCACTATCATTCATGGGTCACTATCCACTTGCATGCATGGCCCTTGTGAAACTTGGTGAAACATTGAAAAACCTAGCATGGTACTTTGTGTCCACTTTGTACAAGATTGGCAGAGTACAGACTCACGCCAGGCGAGGAACTAAGGTTCTCACCTGGGCGCCAATCGTCTACTGCTCTACCGACGCGCGCCAAACACCGGCCAGGAGCTGAAGCTCGCAACCGGGTCAGCTCACTTGCATCGAACAAGAGGGACACTGTTGGCAAGAAGTTTTGGCAGCTCCGGTTGGGCGTTATCGCTTCATGGAGGCTGGTAACAGCCGTCGAGGTAATTGCTCCTAGCTGAATTTGCCCATGTGCTATATGGTGGGCATGGGGATGAGCAATGGGGCATCCCTCGAATGTGTGTCGTCCCCAAGGGCTATTCCGATTGGTCAATGGAGTTCGATTGGTAAACATGTATAAGTCACTCTGATATGTATCCAACGATCGAATTCATCTATAATGACTTCTCAACATGGATCAGTGGGCCTAAGCCAACTCCGGCGCATAGCCCATGTCTGGAATCATGCGCAGCCACTGCGGCCACCGCATAGCAGGGCAGAGCGCGAAGGCATTCTCTTCAGCATACGTCCCACGCCATGTGGTTCTTTGGCCTGGTAGCTTCGTGAGCCTTCTAAATACGCTGCAGTCGAGGAACGCCCTGCTGGAAATATATTGCAGTGAGGGTGGGATGGCAAGCCCTTGCAATGCCGCACAGTTCATCAAAGCTTTCGCGTGGATTGTGTGTACCCTGTATGGCAGGCGTACATCTCTAAGCCTGACACAATGCGCAAAGGTGAACTCTCGAATTTCAGCAACGCTGGTGTTCGAAATGTCTACCTGAGTGAGCAATTGACAATTGTCACAGGCATGGGCTCCTAGCTCATGGAAGTCACGAGGCAATTCGAGTTCTTTTAACCCTGCGGAGCAGAAACATCCTGTCGGTAGTTCCCTATGCTGCTCTTGATTCGGCAAGTCCGGGTTGTGGCCGTCTTCCTGGATGGTGAAGGTAGACAAGTTGACGCAGTCTACGAAAAGATAGCGCCCTAGCTTAGTTGCACTTCCCATATGATTTACTCCACCTCCATAGCATGGATCCACTGTAAGGAGCAGCAGTCGGCAAAGGCTTTGTAGCCAAACTCAGTGCAGCCTGGCACTGTTATACTATTAAGCAAGTGGCACCCTCGAAAGGTGTTCTCTTAGATACGCACAACAGTACTCGGCATCTTGACAATCCGGAGATGACGACAGCTTTGCCAGGCTTGAGCTCCAACAGCGCGTATGCCTGCCTCAACGCTAACATGTCGCAGTTTTGGCACTGCTATGAAAGCGCTGGATGGAATAATCCCCGATTGGCTGGCTGGGACTTTGACAGCTTTGGGGATGTCCCGACATGGGCACCCATCGAAGGCCTCTTTTGTATGAAAAGCTTCGAAACAATTCCGAAACACTATG